ATCCTTACGTCCCATAGATGTTCCATAATACTAAATAAGCAAGAAAGCTCTGCTGCTTTGTTGCCTGATTAAATAGCTATAGTAGATTTACAGAAACATTGGATATGGCCGGAAAAGCTACATTGATCATCGTACTTGTTTGTTTTTGTTAAAGGCATCATTCCAATTGCCTCGGCTGTCAGCTGTCTCCTTTTTTTTTTTTTTTTTTTTTTTTTTTTTTAACAGCCTTCACCGAGCCACACGACATGGCCCGCGATAGCTTTGTATTTTATGGGACATTTAAAATATGAACAAAAAAAAAAAAAAAAAAAAAAAAGTACGCAATGGAAAAAAGTTTCTTGTTCGTGTTAAGCTATATTTCGGCTTCTTGATTGACCATGAGTGATGAATATGTCCATGCACTCATTTAGGGGGTCAAACCCCAGGGAATGAAAAGAAATAAAAAAAAATAATACAAACAATACTATTACTACTACTACTACTACTACTACTACTACTACTACTACTACTACTACTACTATTAATAATAGTGTATAATAATAACAGTATATAATAATAACAGTATATAAATAATAGTGATATTAGAAAGGGTGCAAGAATGGAGGTATCGTTCATAAGGATTGGATTCAGGTCAGGGATCTAGAGCTGGATAAATCATAAAGAACGAAGAAGGCTAAATTGTGTAACTAACTTGTCCATTTTGGTTAATTGGAATGCAACTCCATCGATCAAGTACGATATCGCTCAAAACCCTGACTTGAGCAAAAAAAAAAAAAAAAAAAAAAAAAAAGATTTGGATAATTGAGCTTTGGTTGTAAGCAAAGAATGCTGTGTCCATAAAATGAAGACTACAAATAAAGTGCCACGGATACAAATCGTGTCTGCGCCTGTTATCTCCATTAACATTTGACAATTCACATCCTTGGGTTTTCTTTTTTTCTTTTTCTTTGACTTTTGAGATATAATCAGGCCACTTTCCTGTTTTAGAAAAACGGGCGATAACGAGAACGTAGCGCAGATGACTATAAGCAACGGATTATCAACATGCATTATGCTTTATGCTATGCGATCAAGCTGTGGTTTAAAGAAAAAAAAAAAAAAAAAAAAAAAAAAAAAGCCAGTAAAGACCATGGATGCATATTGGGCGCATATATTCTTTATCCTTTTGATCCTATTACACTATTTTTCATTATGGCGCCCTTCTGTCGTGGATTTCACGTTCCCTTGGTTTTTTATTAAACAGCAATTTAGCAATGCTTTATACATAACCACACAATCGTCTTTCTATTCATATTTGGTCTATCTGCGACAAAATACATGTATTGTAGATAATCTAGTCATGACTCTTGAGGAAAATAAGCTCATTCTGTTATGCCCAAGACTGCTGCATCTTTTTTCCAATGCTCTTTTTTTTTTTTTTTTTTTTTTTTCTTTGCAAACTCTTCCTTCTCTCTCGTCTGATCATCTGTACGCTTTCTTCTTCTCAAAGGGACCATTTTCCTCATTAATTAGCTTTTTTTTTTTTTTTTTTTTTTTTGTTGTTGATGTGTTTGTATGGTTAGGCTGGTATTATTTGGTGTTTATGTCGCCGCATTTATTTAGTCGTGTGACATTTTCTTTGTTCTTATGAGAAATTCTCTAAATTGCCATTGCTCCAAAGGTTCTGGACCCATTTGTCTTTTTTAAACATACTTTCTGATTATTTTTTTTTTCTTTCTTTTTCTAGCGTTTTCTACGCTTTCGAATATAATTCCTATTTCCCCAGATATATATTTTCTTTATTTTTGGTTAGAGGAAGAAGGCTAATGTATTCGGTTAATAAATTAAAGTTTATTTCCACATTGGCTTCAGCGCCGCTGCTTTGGCGGACTTTATTATTATTAGTTCGTCACGTCAGTTTCAACCTATGAATGTAACGGATGAACTTTGCTTGTGAGAAAAAAAAAAAAAAAAAAATGTTTATAGATAAATAATATATATATCTATATAATATATGTATAAATGTAATCTTTTGAATACCAGATGAATCATTAATTAAAATGAAAGAAGAGATGGAACAATAGAAACATGTCCTATATCTTTTATGGCCTTCAAGGGGCTTCTGAATTACAGTGAAGGACGAGATTGGGCGAATGTGAAAAACAAAAAGAGGAGGATCGAGAGATAGAGAGAGGGGAAAAAAAAAAAAAAAAAAAAAAAAAAAAAAAATTGTCGCCGGACTAATATCTGACATGCAAGATTTACTTGCAGCATCAACAAAAAGCCGTTCATAAAATGTTTGCCATGGCTAACTGGATTATTCCCATGGCAATTCATGCAATTCATTCAAATTTTTTTTTTTTTTTTTTTTTTTTCACTTGTTTTTTTTCCTTCATGATTTGTGTACAGGCAGTTGAGCCTTTTTTTTTTTTTTTTTTTTTTTTTTTTTCGTTTGCTTCAAGGGCTTTACTTTATTTGTGAAGGACAAGCAGTGTCTGTGAATCAAGTTGTAAATGGAATGTGGAATAAGGTGTGCCGATTTTATTTTATTTTATTTTTTTTTTGAATTGTAAACATTGGATTGTATAGTATTGGATTGCATACGTGTATAGCATCGATTGCTACATTCAGGAAGCAACGAATCCCTATTGATGCATTTATCCTCAAACTTGTTATCACCTTGTTATCCTAAAAAGACGATAAAAAAAAATAACTATCGCATAAACCTTTACTCTCACAATGTTCACATCCAGTTTGGATTTTGATGCTCCGATCTAAATGCTCTTTCTCAGTCGAATCCATGCATGTACATTACCACACATAAAGTCAGAATGCCAATTGGGAACTGATACCTTTATCCAGTATATAGATATGACATAGGAATTAGAGTGATATACATGCTGGTTGCTATGCGATGCACCGCTCCGCCCTTGTCTTTAAAGGTATATATATATATACGTAGATATTAAAATAACAAGCATAAACTGTTTTTTAAAGGACTATTCAATCGCTTATTTGGTAAACAAATACAAACAAACGAATCAACAACGCGAGACACATTGGCATAGCCAATCAGAGCTGCACGTGGAAGGGATAACTGGACCTGAATTGTCCCAAAGTGGACAGTGCAAACTCTTTTTTAGCGCATACAGCACTCCCATCGCAGTGTTCCTCCTTTGAGCGCTAACCTTAAATTGTTTCCAATATCATCGTGGTCTGTGCTTGACAGTTGAATAGTTCTACTCTTTTACATCATTAAATTTCAATTCAATCGAGTATATATTATATATTATATGTATACATAAACATATGAAGTCTTGACTTGACTTGACTTGATTTTTTTTTTTTTTTTTTCTTACCAAGAATCAAGATGGAGGAATAAAATATCAAACACCGAACAGAGAAGCTGTTGAAATATATATATAATATACACTTCATTCAGCAAAGCCAAGAAATCCTCCGGTATGTCACAAAGAATGAACCTTTTTTTTTTTTTTTTTTTTTTTTTATCCGTATTTTAATTAGAGTTTTCATTACGATTGTATTTATACCCTGTAGGCGCGATCAATCTTCCAAGTCTATGGCTGCTATAAGAAACAAGCGCAGGAAGTGTATCCTTATTCTTTTAGGAGATTGTATTACCATTGGTACTAGATTTCCAAAGGTACATGTTCATATAATTCTGATCTGAGACACTGAATGTGATCTCTTCTCGGAGGACAGATCGCTGAAAAAAAAAAAAAAAAAAAAAAAAAAAAAGACGGGAAGAATGAAATTAGGCGATGCATTGAATGGATTAGAAGATTGGAGAGAAAGGGATGATTTGATCGACAAATTGGATACATGTGGGATGATCATACTCTCTAACTCGTTCAAATCGCATCTATCTACATCTCTTGACTCTTACAACCTTCTTTTATTTGTATACAAACATCATTGTTGTTTGGGGGTGTCTTTGTTGACCCTCTTTTTATTTTTTGTTTTTATTTGAAAAAGTTTAAAAAAAAAAATAAAAAAAAGGTCGGGTGAAATAGGATTTCCTAGGTTATATATATACAACCTGAAATGGTGTGTAAGGTTTATCCAACATCAATGTTTTTTTTTAAAATGATAGACGATCACTCTGGTGCTCTCTCACTCTATATATCCTTTGTACATAAAAATTATTTATTTTCATTTATCTTTTTTCTTTTTTCTTTTTTCCAAAAGTCTCGAACATCCAAAGAAAGAGCTACTTGTGCGGTTGACCTTATAGTTGTCTTTTTTTGATTACTCTATTCTCAAAAAGAGCAAATAAAGCCTTGAAGAAGTCCATCGTGCATTCTCCAAGCAATTCAATTGGGCAAGAATGAATGTCCGATCTGCTCTGTTGCTATTGTTGTTATTGGTTTTTTTTTTTTTTTTTTTTTTTTTTTTTTTCCTTTCAAAAAAGATTGTGTTCAGGTTTGCATATATACAAATATGGACATAAACAGTTATTGTTTACTCACACGACCAAAAAAAAAAAAAAAAAAGTTTGGATAAACGGGAAAACTCTTAGATTCACAATTGGAATCCTTTATATTGATCAGAGTACCACCACATTTCATACAAAAATAAATAAATATCTCTTATAATTGATCCCTCTGATCCTCCTGATCCTCTTTATGGTCATGTGTAATGAGAAAGTTATCATCTTTTTAATAGTCACCCGTATTAATATATTAAAGAAAATAAAAGGCGATGCACATATATTTATACAAGTTTGAACTCTCTATTTGCTACCAAGATAAAGGTCCAAAGGTATCGGTAATCGAAGAGATTTTGAAGAGAATTCGTGAACGCACAAGGTAAAGATGATCTCACCTAGGTCTGTAATTCATTGATCCCCAAGGGGAAAGTAAATCAAGATTTCAACGAACGCCATGAGGAGGTGGCTAACAAAACTGATGAATACCTCATCATTCCTTTCTTTAGACGTCTTTCAGACACTCTTAAGCACTACCGTCTTTAGAATCATTTTCAATTCGTTGTTATAAATCGTCGGATTGCTTTTATTTATTTATTTATTTATTTCATTATTCAAATATAAAAATAGTACTCATTCAACTATTGTCCTTGCTTCCTTTTTCTACTCCTTTTCCTTCTTTAATGTTTTATCAAGCCTGTTCGTAGCGCCGTCTTGCGAGCTCCTTGGCGGTCTCCGCATAGTTATTTAAGGGTCCTCGGATGACACCGCTGCTTGAACCTGTTCCATCCGTCGCCTTACGGAGCAATCCCGCTCCAATACCCACGCCCTTAGCATATCCAGTTGCTTCGATTGGGGCCTTGATCCCCTCCCCATCTTTACCTAGACCCTGGCCTTCCTTCCAGCCCATTGATTTCAACAAACGATTTCCAATGTTATCTTCCTTAATTCCGTCCTTTGTGGGCTGTTCCGGAATGACTACTTCATGGCCAAAGCTGCCATTGCCACTGCCACTATATCGGATACCTCCTCCTCGACCACCATACTCTCTCCCTGATGGTGTAGGTGGCAATGGGTAATCTGGTTGTCCAAAAATCTGTCTCCTTTCTGCGGCTCGATCTCTATATTTGGGCTCTTCCTCATTCTTATGTTGCGAGTGGATGCCAGTAGAAGATGATAAAGAACCATCGCTTGCGGCTACCCCAGATGTTTCTCTTGCAGAATTCAGAGATCCCGATCCTGCACTCGTACCGCCTCGTGACTTATTAAGAGCTGCTCGAATAAGTTGCGGGTCCGACAGATTTTTCTTGTGAAGCTCAGAGAGTGACTGATGCTTCCGCAAATCCTGCACGGTTTTAAGCCGTCGCTGACAAAGCAGACACGCAATTAAATCAAAGTCCATAAGCTCGTCCGGCTCAAATAGGGGAATGGCATTAACGGAGTCCTCTGCACCCAAGGGAGCCGTTATTCCTGTTGCTCCTGGCTTCGAGGGCTGGGCTTGAGCTTCTGGAGCAGCCGTAGATTCTTGTGGTTGTTGATGAGACACTCCGCTTGTTTGCAGTTCCACTCGTTTAGATGACCATTTTTGAAGTTGAATCGAGACCTATCATATAAAAAATAAGGGATGAGGGACTGAGGAGCTTGCTTCTTCTTCTTCTTCTTTTCTTATATATAGATATAAAGATCCAACGCTCTTATGTCCTTATATTTACCTTCTTCCCTCCTCCGCCAATACCAATATTAGAGCCTCCAGCTTTACGTTTCTTTTCTTCTGCCTTTGCAAGCTGCTCGGCCGCTTGAGCCGCAGCAATGCCAGCAAGCTGGATCTCATCTACCCTGGCAGTGGTAGGTATGGTAGGCAACTCTTGGGTCATAACAGGCATCGGGGTCGGCATCGGGGCTCCAGTTGCACTTGGCGCCGCTCCATTATCGACAGCGATTGCAGTTGCTGTTGTTGATGTAGGTACAGAAAAGACGGACGACTCAGCCCTAGATGATGGGTCTGGTTTGAGTACGTCGCCCAAAGAGGCATAAAACGCATCAAGCTCATCCACAGGTTTATTCGGCGCCTTCTTTTTGGGTTCTAGCATCACACAGACACGTAGTTAAAACCGTTTTGTAAAAGAAGTTTGAATTTCACTTTTAAGCGGGAAAAGCAGAAGAGAAGAAGAAGAGTGTGAAATCTAAAAAGACTTACCGTTGTTAACCGTTGCCTTGGTCATCTTTACTGCTGCCGCAGGGTCAACGTATATAGACAGAAATGCCTGTTCATCCCAGTATATTGCTAGTTTGTTTTCGTCATCGCCAAGATTAAACGTCCATTGCGTTGGAGCATATGCTGGAATAAATGATCCATGATGTGCATAATTGATTTTCACTGGCTTGTTTTGAACCGTGAAGTCTCCTCCGCTGTGGGCTTTTTCTAATGCGGCGGTTGCACTCTAGCAGCAAATAACATTTTAGTCGATAATATATATATACAATCTTATAGTCCAAGCCGTCCATCCATTATTCCAACGGAGCGCTCTTCTTTACCTGGACATCAATATATTCTGCAAAGCAATAGCCCCAGCTGATCCTTGACTGCCTGTCCTTGACAAGCATCACTCGTGCGAGTGGTCCCAGTCGCACGAGAGCGTTCCATAGTCCAGACTCATTTACCATGGATGGCAAGTCCGTGATGACCAACATAGAGTTAGGGACAGATCCAATATCACGCGCACCTACATTCAATACAGTCTGCATTGCTGGATCCGAGTAATACTGTGATGGACGCACTGTATGCACTGGATTTGCGGGTGACCATGATGTTGTTGAACTGGACCAGCTTCCTTGATCAAAATGATTGGCTCCTAAATTATTTCCATATCAGAAGAAAGATAGAAACAGCCATTTCGTGGTACAACGGGTTTTGGGAGAAATGGCAAAGAACGTCATCCACAGAATGTTTTTTGTTGTTTGGTGTCAAAGGCCATTGAGACGAGACATAAAGGAAGAAAAGGAGCAAATCCATCCGTCCGAACGACCGACCATTAGGACAATGATAATTTTGATGGGTGTTTAAGATTTGGTCAGCAATCATGACTCTCAGGTGATAATTTCGCAAAAGGTGTGCAAAGAAGAGAAAAGATTGGCGTTGAAAGGAGAAAGCTGAGAAGCAACACAATAAGAACAGTTGGATGGAATTGTGTAGCGATTTATCCAAGTGACGACTGTCAAACCTTGCTTGCTTGACAAAGACTGACGGCAGTTCTCCATATGGCCTTCGTTCAGTCCACACTGTGAGAGAAATAGATTGACATTTTATTTTGGTTAGTCAATCAGTTGTTTAAACTACTCTTTTACTGTGCAAACAATAAAGCCGATGGCAATTAAAGAAGTAGAAATAGAAGTATTCCAGCGCAAAGCAACTCACTTCGGGGCAGCGGTGATGTGAATCCCTGGAATTCGAGTTGTTATTAGTATGCAGCATCCTGCCCCGTCTTTGTCCTATCCTCATCGATGTGCCTTGGTTTCTATAATCCTGTTTTCCATATTGGTCATGCTGTCGACCGCCACTGTTACCGCCACTGTTACCGCCACTGTTACCGCCACTGTTACCGCCACTGTTCCGATGATGGTATCCCCTATCTCTGTCTGAGGATCTACGATCATAATCTCTAGGTTTATCTCTATCCCATTCGCGCTGTGCATGTACTTTAGAGGATGAGGGTCTAAAATATCCACCGCGGTTATGAGGCGGGCTCTGGCTACTTCCACGACTCTTGTTTGATTCTGCGCTGTGATGACGTCCATGCCACTGAGACTGTGAGTCTCTGTCCCTGCTTCGGCTTCGACTTCTCCTGCTCCCGCTCCTGCTTCTGCTTGTACCTCTACTTCTGCTTCTTCTCCTGTTCCTGCTAGGGCTTCGTCCCCTGTCTGGAGTCAAGCTCCTTTTTCGATAATTAGGCTCTGAAGGACGGCCTGTAAGCTGCTCTTGCTCTTGCTCCTGCATCGTGCTGACTCTTTTGTTGGAATGAAGTGAATGAAACAATAGATTGTAAAAGATACATCAGAGAACTTTGATGTCTCACTAAGGGCATCGAAAGAGGCGCGGCTTTTGGGCAGTCCATGATTCGAAGCCACACTAAATTTGTTGATTTCACGTGATGAAGCACGTACGGTAGCATGTACAGGACGATGTACGTTAGATTTGTGTGGCAGGTTATTTGTCTGTGTGCGATCTGGTAGTTTGCTTCCCGCAGTTATATCAAATTGAGAACCCGGTTTTACGACAATAACAACAGAAAAAAGCTATGTCACTATGAGCTAAAAGAGAGAAAAGAGGGAAAAGAAAAAAAGCTCTTATTTTCTTCTGACGTTTACTTTCTACTTTTTCCCAATTCTGTTGCACAGGCAAGGCACGTTTTCGCACAAGGAAAAAGGACAGGCACACGCACCACTTATGGAGACAAAGTAGCAAAAGGGATCAATGGATTATTGGAATGGTAATGCCATTGCAATTGATGCAGCGTATCGCATGAGAGAAGGAAAATACCTTTCATCTCTTTTATTTCTTTACTCCTTTACCATCTTTCCTTGCAGCGGCAGGGGTGAATAGGGGATGAATGCGTTGCTTTCCGACTCTTGTCAGATATGAATAGAGCTCTTTTTCTTTTCTTGCAAGTCAACAAGTCGAATCGACGCTATGACGCTTGTGTTACTTTGCTCACTAATCTCTGTATACTGTGTGTGCATAAAAATATATCGACTTTGAGCATCTTTTTTAAAAAAGTAAGAATGGACAGTGCCACATTATTTATTCCTATTGTAAAATACACATGCCAGTCAGTTTGAAATAAACGTTTTTTTTTGGTATTGTGCCAATGTGCCGCAGACGATGGCTCTTTTTTTTTTTTTTTTTTTTTTTTTTTTTTTTTGATAAAGAGACGGGCGAGCATCCTAGTTTCCGCAGCCCCTATTGCCATGCATTGCGCCTTGGTTCACACGGCAACTCTGTTGTAGTTTTCTCTTGGGCAACTAAAAAATCCCGATCATCATGTGCGCATATGGTAGTGGAAGAGACGGATAAATCGGAAGTGGAGGGGCGCAGGCGTAAAGTATACTGTATATTCTTTACACAATAAAGACGTCCCACCTGGCGGTGTACTGTACAGAAAAAAAAAAGTTTGACTTTTTTGTCCTACTGACTCCTATTGTAACTGTGTTTAGGAAGTTACCATGTCCCATGTCATCATCACCTAACTCAGATCCCAGCTATAGACTAGTTTTGTGCAACCCAGCGGGCAAACACACCAAGAAACAAAATGGAAAAGGATATTCCTTGACTGAATAGAAGAATCCGTCTTGGAAATGTCTTATTTCATACTAAAAAAAAAAAAAAAAAAAGTTCTCAGGCACATCAGGTACGTTAGTTGGAAGATCTCGGTATGTAGTGATGTGTTGATGTGTAATTGTATATGTGAAAATCGAGCCTAGTCCAGGGCATGCACACGCATACGCTTCAATTGGCTACTTTTTTTTTTTTTTTTTTTTTTGCCCTTAATCCCAAGTAGGTATATATATCTATAAATGTATATATATATATATGGTGGTAGTGGCAGTAGAATCATAAAAGAGCTGTTGTAATCAAGAACGCATGAATTTTTTTTTTTTTTTTGCGCCCAGTGCGTCTGGTCCAGCCTTTACTTGCTGGGAAAAGGAAGGCAATAGAAAAGAAAAAAGGAATATTCTTTTCTCCGTAAGACAACAAGATCGTGTCCGGCCAGACTGGACACAAGGGCAGGCAAACAGACGTATACATGGGTCATCATTGTTTTGCCATACCCTGTCATGCATTTTTTACTCCTCTCTTTTACGAATGTTGGAGCATGGGCATAGAAAGAGAGACAGAATAGAGAAAGGTGCGGATGGAGCTGCAAAGGGGATTTTCGATCGGCGTAAATAGAGAGTTTTGTCCAATACTCAAAAAAAAAAAAAAAAAAAAAAGAGGGGTCGGATGGCGGAACATCGATGTCTTGAATAGGCGAAATATGTTCAATTGGCGAGTGAATAAGGATGATAAATATAGCAGAGTCGCTGCTTCACCCAAAATCTAAATTTGTCACAACACATCAAGAGGCGACAATGGCTAGGGCATCATCACACCCCCAATTCAACACCGCCAACAAAATGGGCAGAATGTCCTTCTTAGTTTAGCCCACTCTATCCTTATCCGTCCATCTTTTTTTTTTTGTTTACTGCTTTTTATTATTCTTACTTGCTGCTCGATCTTATATAAACCAGGCACACGCGGTCTTTTTTTTTTTTTCCTCTTCTTCACTCACTTGTTCATTTGTTCTCATTTTTATCCGCCGCTTTGTATATAAACTGCCTGCAGCTCTCAAAAAGAACATCAATTGACATTATTCTTTTGCCAGAAACACTTCTCCTTCTTGCTCTTTTGCTCTTCTTTTTGATACCACACACTCTGCCCCCCAGAAAATATAAATTGTCAGCATCAAGGCCGCACTTTTGTTTTTCTTTCTTTTTTTTTTTTCTCCAGTCGATATCGATTCTCCTCACTCTTTATTTTAAACTTGTTTACGACAAAATCCTAAAACCAGTATCCATTTCACATAACTCTTTCAATCAAATATATCATGCTGAAGCACTCAATAACCACTTTTGCGTACCTTTTGGTCGTCTTCCTCACCTTCTTTTCCGTCAATGCCCTCCCAACCCCACAACAATCTGAACCCTTCAGATTTGAAGTGAGCTCACCAAAGACAGATTCGCTGTGGCCGGTCGACTCACTGCCTACCATTTCCTGGGATGCTACCCAGATGCCTCAGGGCTCGACTATGGACATTGCACTTCTTCACTACGAAAAGAAACAGTCCTATCTTCTACGTCGTTACGTTCCTGCTCGTTTGGGATCCACCCTCGTCAACCTGCAACCGGAGCTCAAATCCGGCACTTACTCACTCTTGTTGACCGTCTATAAGGGACGCACTTCGAGTGTTGTGGGTCGCTCCTTGGTGCATGGCATTATCCTCTCAGAGGACGAGGCCGTTGACGCTGAGCAGGAGACTCTTCGCATTATTAGCAACAAGGACCAGGAAATTGAAGACAATAACGAGGAAAATACCGCAGAGTCCTTGACCACATCCGAGACGCCCGAGCTACTTCTCAAAGCAAATAAGCAAAGACAGCGTATGATAGTTCAGGAAACCGAACTGGTCGAGTTGACGCACGAGCCTACCAAAGGTAATTTGGTTCTTCGTGCTCCTTACACTATCGGTTGGACGATCCCCAAGGCAATCGAAGGTGCACGCCGTATCCGCGTGAACCTGTTGTTGGTGTCTCGAGATGATGAGGTGGTTCGTGTTTTGGCGACCAACATCGACGCCAAGACTGGATTCCTCTATGTCTTTTTACCAGCAGACATCCCTCTTCAGATGTACCGGATCAAAGTTGAGATCATTGGAAAGGGCCGCAAGTTCACTGGATACACTCACAAGTTCCACACAAGTCTGCCTGCTTTCTCTGCAAGGTCATGAAGCTAAAACTCATACATACTCATTCATTAATGACGGATTCTTTACACTTTTCTTCATGATCCCCTTCTCACCTTGTATCATAATGTTCAACCCTTCCGACATCATCTACTGTCCTATCTACAAGTTTTTTATTTTTATTTTTATTTTTTTCTCTTTATTGTCTCTTCAGAGTAGAAAGAAGAATATCCACACCTCTCTGTAACTCTGTAAACATGTAACATAGTCATCGTTCTCATCTCATTCATGTATAACTGTATAATAATAAACAATTAAGAAAAAATAAAAAAAAACTTGACAAAGCATCTGATGCATTATGACTAGTTGTGCTTGATCGAGACAAGAAAAACATCGACATTTGTTATCATCCATAATCCTTTCCTCCCCCTTGTTTTTACTTGATCACTCCACCTATTCCTTGTCATCCCCATGTGCTCCTTTTGTTGTTTTTGCTGCTGTTGTTCTACTGTTCTACTGGATAAAAAAAGACTTGAACAACTCTGCGAATAAAGGTCATTGTGCAACCATCGTGGACAGCGACTTCCCCCCCAAACCTCGAGAGGAAAAAATAAATAATTCAAAGGGCTGGGGGATTTGAAGGAATGCTCATGTTTTGTGTGCCTGTCGACTTTCTCTCTTTTTCCAGAAATATCCAAATTCTGCCTGTCGTTTTACATACATCAATCGACTTCGCCTCGTCCTGCCACATACCATCCATATTTTAACACATGTGTATACTTGTTTACTGTTGGGATAAAGTAGATGGAGTATGCAATGTATATATATATATATATATACAAATACTTAATAATAAAGCTCACATCTAGTCTCGGACAATATATGTATGATACGTATTGAAAATGTTGCAGCCATTGTACAGTGTAATATTTGTATGAGCCTTCATCTTTCTCTTTCACCTCTTTTCAAATAATAATAATAAAACGAAAAAAAAAAAAAAAAAAAAAAAAAAAAGCTCTCTTTTTTTTCATTTTAATTAGTTTGCATTTATAATTAAAAAAAAAAGAAAAAAAAAAATGTATTTGAGTTGTCCCAAAAGCGCTTTTCTTTTTTCTTTCGATCATCTTGGACTGTAAATTCAAGAAGAGTCGGGTCTCTGTCTAAGTGCTTCCGCAGAAGATACACGTATATGTATGTAAATATATACAAATGTATATACTGTATTTTAAGGACATTGAATTTAGACTTTGGACAAAAGGGTAGCGTGGCAGTGATCTAAATCTATAACGGGCACAGGTACATCATGGCATTTGTGGATGTGGCGATGCACAGGGGCCAAGTTTAGCCAGGCAAAAAAGACATCTCAGTCCAGCTGGATTCTTGAAAAGGAACTTGTCATCACTGAATACAGTAACGTTCTCTTACAACAATCGGAAAAAAAAAAAAAAAAAAAAAAAAAGACTGGGATAAAAAGTGTCTTCGCTAATAGATAATCATATATAATTTTACTTCGCCAACTTCCCTTTATCTTCTTTTCTTTTTTTTGGCCTGAGAACCTTGGGAGTTTATGTTATGTTGGTCATTGTTTTATTCACCGCACAGCCTTTCAAGAAGAAAAAGAAGCCTCTACAATACAGATGGCAACCTGCTATCAATAAGGACAGTCACTTCTTCTGTAGTTATATTTATCACTGAGATTTGGAATCAAAAAATGATTTTATTTTTATTGTGAACCATCCCTTGAAAAGCATCTTGCACCTTACACTGCAACATTGAATTTTCGTAGGAAAGAATTAAAAATGCCATGACAATTATATACAGCCAGTGTGCGACAAAGAGAGAGAAGAGTTTCTTTCTTATTAGTTATTTAAAAAACTACAAAAAAATCGACAAAAATCCTGCCCTATGCGGGAAGCTCCGTAAGTCGCGATATCCTGAATGGTCGGGATAAAAAAAAAAAAAAAAAGGAAAAAAAGAAAAAAAGAAGGAAAGAAAGAAATAAAGACCATGCCCTTTTGAAGATGTTCCTGTCGTATCCCTGGCATTGAATAAAAAATGTCCCGAGGAAATCGCGATGATCCAGAAGCGCTCGTTCTTTTTTTGAGAGGGGATATCTTGCTTCACATGATCTACTCCTTGCTTTATAAAAGGAGTATATTTCCTTATTTCAAACATTGTGATCGGGCTTAACATTCGGAGAATGACGAGGGGGTTCTTGTCTATTTAGTCAAAATGGAGACGATCATAGCAAGATGAGTATATGTGGGCATATGGAAACTAACTTTCCAATCGTTTCAATGCTATCAATCCCTCCAATGTCTCCAGAAATATTAATAATGCACAAAAGATACACCGGTACTAATAGATTATTACCCTTTTTCACTACGCATACACCGCCAGACAAGACCGAATTGATCCTGGACCTTAAAATGCATGATAGCGACCATGAGATCTTCTACATGCTTTGCGCAGCGATGCGGTTGAGGAGAGTTTGAGGGTTTCTTCAGGTCCTGTCCTGATTCATTACTGGTATTGCTGTGTTTTTCCATCTATTCGTTTGTCCTGATCTGTTTCAAAGGGTAAATAGTTTGTAGTTGGAGGAAACAACAGTTGGCTCGGGGTTGAAGCTTCTGCATGGAAAATAAATCCCTTGAGGTCATATTCCTGGAAAAAAAATTATTTCCAAGCTTAAATACCGGATTCAGGGCAATAACTTTACCTTCACCATTCCAAACCCCAAGTTTCATTCTTCAACTCATTTTCATTCGCGTTCAAGTATTAATATTTTAATATTGCACAATAACAGCAGCTACAATGTAAGTCAGATCTCTTTCTCATCTTTCCTTTTTTATACATGCTTGTTACTGTTGCTTTTGACAGCAAGGCCATGGCAGGCGAAAGAGTGCCTTTTTTTTTTTTTTTTTTTTTTTTTTTTTTTTTTAAAATCTCATTGCTTTTAGTGATTATGCTCCTGCAACTTTGGATTCTGGTTACAGAAGTACACAGTTTTTATTTCTTGGACAACATAACGTTGCATGGCTCTTTATTTCGTAACCTTTTTTTTTTTTTTTTTTTTTTTTTTTTTTTCAAAAGACAGAGGGAGACTAAATAAGAGAGTGAGTTAGCAGACATAGAGGAGGACATATTTCGGATTGTACTATGGTTCCATATCATGAATCGAATGCACAGTGAAAAATGCTATATAGTGGGAAGCAGTCATCTAGGATTAGTGGTGTAGAGTGATTTTCAACAGTTTGCTGTTTGATAAATATATGTCTTCTATTATCCTTTTTCATCTCATCTTTGCCTACCCCTCTTTCTTTTTTCCTGATATCCCCTTCACTGCATTTTTTGTTTACTCTAATGTAGTAGGGGTAGTTTTGAATACTTATGATGGTTTAACTAAAAAGAGAGCTTTTTTTTTTTTTTTTTTTTTTTTTCCCTCTCTTTAAAAATAATTCAGCATGTCAACAGAGAACGCTCAGGATATGAAGCAGATCATTGGTTCAACAACCGATGACCTTGAAAGAGATATTGACGACGAGGTACTTTAAAAAAAGGAAGAAAATCCCGTTATTAGTTCAACCCTTTTTCCACCATATATTTTCAACAATCAGGATATCCAGATTATACTGACAAAAAAATATCATAATTTTCTCGGCGTCATATATTCCCTACTCTCCCGTTATCTCTCTTTCCAATCAATTTCAGGAAATTGAGGCTATGAAGCAACGCGTGAAGGAAATGGAAGCTGAGGCTGCCAAGCTGCGTGAAATGCAGGCACAGGCAGAGAAGGAGATGAATATGACTGAAGAAGGTAAAAATAGTCTTTTTTTTAATTAGTCGAGATTATACTTATTTTTTTCCATTAAATGACGTTGAATACTAAGCAGCCCCTTTCTTCATTACAATCTAGATAAAGAAGCTGTAGATGCAAGATCAGTCTATGTAGGCAATGTGGACTGGGGCTCAACACCTGAAGAGATTCAGGCACATTTCCAATCATGCGGTACTATCAATCGAATTACTATTCTTTGCGACAAATGGACTGGTCAACCCAAAGGATATGCTTATGTTGAGTTTGCTGACCCTTCCTCTGTCGCCAATGCCATGGTCTTGAATGAATCACTTTTTCGTGCACGTCTGATCAAGGTTCGTGAAGGAAGCAAGTGAAGAAACATAGTATTTCAGATTTTAAAGCCTTTAATGATCCACCTCTAAATCTTACCTCTTTCTCAATTTATAATTGCCAGGTGACACCAAAGCGTACTAATGTTCCAGGAATGGCTGCTAATCGTGGACGTGGTCGTGGCAGAGGTGCTTATCGTGGTGGCTTTGCGGGCCATCACGCCTATGCCCATCAGCCTTATGGCCCATCACCACCCGCATACGGCCATCCTCCATATGGAGGATACCGTGGCAGAGGGTAAGATACTCGCCAATGAGTCTGTTTTTTTTTTTTTTTTTTTTTTTTTTTTTTTTTTTAAATTTGGATTTTTCCTTTAGAACAGGGATAATCGCCACTTGAGTTAACATTTATTAACATTTGTTTCATTTTAGTCGTGCTCGCGGTCGTGGGGGATACTTTGCTCCTTACTAAGGACTTTTTTTTTTTTTTTTTTAAGAAAAAAAAAAAATAAGGAACAAGAAAAAAGAAAAAAGAGGACATGGAGTATCATAAATGGTCGAGGAAGAATCTATGACAACGTGATAGAAAAGGACAAGAAAAAAAAAGTGGAAAGAATTGGAGCCAAAAAAAAAAAAAAAAAAAAAAAAAAAAGCAGACAAGCGGAAGAAATTATTTGGATAATACAGGGCATTCAGGGATAATTTTTTCTCTCTGCTCGAACATTTAGTCAAGAATACGAGCGAATATATACAAGAACGAGAACAAGATCAAGGTTACAAGGACGAGATCGAGGCGAGGCAAAGGTGTGCTATATCGAGAATGGATTTGTGAGTTGCTCAAGTTTACTTTGTCGTGACATGTTGGACGATGGATCAGGCATTGATTTTTATGTTTGAAGGCCCGATTCACAAAAAAGAATTGGAAATAAGGGAACAATAGGAGCAATAAGAACAATAGGACAGACACAAACACAACAGCAAAAAAAAAAAAAAAAAAAAAAAAAAATAGAGCGTGTAACATGTCTGTCATATTGTTATGTAACATAATAGATGTTTTTATCAACTGTACAATGAACTCGAGAGTGTGGAAAAGGAAAACATCAAGAGTAAAAAAGCGATTGTATTAATTGGCTCAAGAGAGTATTAACATTAGTGTTGAAAAGAGTGGATTTATAAATGCTGATATTATCTCTTGACATCTGCAATCTTAATTCCTATGGTTTACTGGGTAAAGTTGTGGCAATGGTTTGATAATTCGCATGTAGTGAAACTTGTAAAGTACAAAGCGGCATGTGATCTAAGTTTCTATGGGCAAGTGCAAGTAGAGATCAGCTCCATCACTTTACTTTCCAAATGGTAAATGGAGTAAATGGACATTGTAACTTTTCTTTTGTCAGAAATACATTCAGTCATATAATTCAGGAATATATTAAGGAAATAAGAGCTTGCTTTGATGGACAAGCATATCACTTCGCTCTTAAGAACATTCGATTCGTTGAATCTATGAAGCTATGCTTGTTCTGTTAAAGGCGACATGTTGCTATTTCTATTACCGAAAATGTGATGCGACAATCACAAAAAATTCTCTCACACTCTCACCAAGTCGTACAAGGTTTACAAGCTTTCTCATTGTTAAATGTGTTTGTAGAATTGCTTCTCGCGTGCTTGTAAGTATATTTTTCTTGGAAAGAAACTTGCAGATTTGTAATTCTTTATTATTAGTGTCGATGGTATATATCAAAAAGTTTTTAATTTACCATTGCAAAAAAAAAAAAAAAAAAAAAAAAGAGGCCATCAAAGGTAAAACTTGACAAAGACGGCCAACCAGAAGAGATTGAGCACAGAGGCTTTTAATGCTTTGGAGAAGAAGTTTGGATCCTTAGATCGATAACCAAAGTCTATATGAAGGAATTATTCAAAAAGTTGATCAGAGCACAGACTTGGATACGTCATTCAACCTTCATACACGAGCGACAACTTTCTCACGTTTGATGGCATTCTTAACCCGTTCATGGACACATAATGAACAATGACAGGATACTTACAAATGATGGATGCCCACGCCCCAAAGAGCCCAGAGATTCTGATAAAGCGGAGAATATCATCGTCAGCGATCTTGACAATCCCAATGTCACCACCGCGTCTTGCGCAGATTTGGACTAGGAAATATGTCCAAAGGTTGAGCATTGCAATCATCCCGAACACTAGAAAGCTCCATAGGCCAGTTGAACCTTTTAAAGAAACGAAGAAAAAAAAAAAATTTATTATTCGATCCCCTTTCGTTTTTTTTTTTTTTTTTTTTTTTTCCATTTTATATAGACATGTAACATCTAAAGTGTTCAAAAGTACCATTGCTCTTGATAGCAGCATATAATCTCCAAATAAAAACGATTTCGATGAACGTGATCATGTATGCAAAATCACGAAAGGGTTTAGCATCGTTCTCTTTCACAAACTGCTGTGAACGAGTAAAGAAGGAATCTTCTCCAAAGCTGGACATGAATGCTTGGGATGCTGCATCGTTATTATTCCGATTAGCACGTTTGTTGGCTTTGGGTGCTTTTGCAGGCTTTGGTGGTTTGTTGACCATGATGAAAAGGAAAGGGAAGAGATGAACAATGAAGTGAATGTGGAGTGGAGAAATGGAACGTTCCCATGTTTTTTCTCGGATATTAAATATTACACGTTACACGTGCTTAGGCATTATTTTATTTTTTTTTTAAATCTACAAATTAAGCCAACGGTCAACTGCAACAAAAGGAATAAAAATGTTCTCCTTATTGAGAACTTTTGTTCATCACTTTTAGTGAATTGCACAATATTATTTTACTGGGAAAGATGAGGAAAAAAAAAAAAAAAAAAGGAAGAACGCCATAGGACGCTCAACAAGGACTAGAAAACTACTTCATGCGGCTCTACTATGAATGACTCTCCATTCTCGCGAACACTTTGTCGATTCACGTCTCGTTTTAACGGTTTCCGCATATCTAAAAATAATAATAATAAATTGATAAAATAAGTCCAAATAAATAGGATAAAGTCATAATAAATAATAACAGCAACAACAACAAAAGGCTTACCAAAAGCGTCTTCTGTTGTCTCGCCATTATAATATCCTCTCACAGTTCGATAGATTGAGTAGCCCAGCTGTGTATACATCTCAATGGCGACTTTGTTGGACCTCCTGACAAACAGATCGACAAAGTATCCATCATAAGGATATTCTGAAACCCTTTCCAAGAGATCCATCATTCCTTGAGCTAATCCTAGACGACGATATTCTGGCGCAACAGTGATAGCAGTGACGTGACCATGCCAGTCTGTGCCTTTACCCTCTGCCTTTCCCATCACATAGGCCATCAAAGTTGAGGATGGAGTACATTGGACAGAGAATAGATCGGGCCAACGAGCAAGATAGGATAGGTAGAAAGAAATGTTGTACTAATTCGAAAGGATATTTATAAGAAAAAAAAAAAAAAAAAAAAGGACATCCGATTAAAACCCTGTGGAAAAAAATACAAAATTAATGAAATCCTACCGCAAGCAAGAAGTTACAATACAGTCTCAGTCAACGAGTCCAAGTTACTGATAAAAGGTGAAATAGCCAGAAGGAATTTAAAAAAAAAAAAAAAAAAAAAAAATTGGCGCGTATCAGTAAAAAAAAAAAAAAAAAAAAACAGAATTTATGGGCGCATCCATTTGTCCTTCAAATGTAATTTCAGTTTTACATGGCATTGAAATTGAAGAGATCTGTGGCCTTGAACTGTCGTAAGCTACTCATGGCGTTTTGTTTTGTGTAGCTCTATGCTCTGGTACTGGTGATGTTGAAATTAAAGCATTCCCTTCGCCTAACCCTACGGTAGACTTTTTTTTATTTCGTACAAGCCACCCATCAGGCAATGCGTTCTGTATCAGATTTTGTACCAGCTTTACAAATAGAGAGATGCACAACAAATCATTCTATCGTTTTTCGAAAAGTTTAAGCTTGAGCTTGAGCTTGAGTTTACATAGGGTGCATTCTCTCTGACCAATCTAGACTATCGGGCTTTATCCTATCTTAGGGATTGCCCGTTCTCCTTGCCCAGTTTTGAGACTAGCCAGCTTCTATCGACTGACCACTTGTTCCAAATTGAAAATAAGAAAAAAGAAAAAAGAAAGGTAGCAAAGTAGGGTATTAGCCAAGATACGGTTAATTAAGACAGATTTGATTGAAATGAATTGACAATCTAGCCCTTTATTCGCAGGGTACGGATGAAACGAGGTATATATATATATACATAAAACTAGATGCGGCACACTCGTAATTGAACCAGCAGTCTTTGGTTGTTCTAATAAGTGGAGGAGCTAATAGCTACTGTCAATGTTACTTCTCTCAAAGCTTCTCTCTCTGCTAATAGATCTTGACAATTAAGCCTGGATGTCTTGAAAAAATTAAAGGCGCAAATGTCAATTGGTCCGTGTTATTTTTAAAACGAAATGTGTGCACTGTGCACAGATTCAGGCCCAAGGCACAATTGCTAACCTTCTTGCAAACAAACTTCTGTAATGGCCCCTAGGTCATTCAAGATCCCAACGAATGTTGTTGGGCTTATATTATATATTTTTATTTTTTTTTATTTTTATTTTTTTCCTCTCCCCTTTTCCCCTACCTCCAGATCATGCGACTAGTGAATGTCCTTTGAGGTCACACAGAGAGGGCATTCAGTAATGTGCGACAGAGTGCAGACAAACCTCATTACCTTAAGTGCTGTGCAGTAAAGAATAACTTGGAAGCCACCTCAGTTGCTATGCTTGAATGATCTTGAATTGAACTGCGACATCATCTTTAACATTTCTTTTTTTTTTTAAAAAAAAAACATTCACATTTTATTCAGACACATTATAAAACTTTTTTTTTTTTTTTTTTTTTTTTTTTTTGGCTCTTTAGCAATTTACACTGTGAGTGCTCCTTTCCGCAGTCTGGGTTAAAAAATAAAATAAAAAAAAAAAAGTTGTGCAATTGTCTGCCGCTAATGACGGCTTTTATCATTTTTTGCAGCTTATATTTATATAGTTTTTTCTTCGTTCGCTTAAGGCTAAATGTCAAAACGAGAGTTTCGACCAACAAGTCCCAGACGTCCGATGTTGAAATCTGAAGACTCTTCCAGTGGGAAATTGTTATTTACCCACGATTTAGAGCTTTTGCCGCAGGAAACATCCTTCGGCCCTATCTACACCTGTTTTTGTAAGCATAGGACAGAGGCGAAAGGTCCCATGTTTGAGCACATGAGTAAATGTGACGCTTTTCGGGTCTTTGGCGACCATTTACATAGTTGCAATGGGGAACTCATCAGCGAATCCATAATTATAGTACCAAGAGCTCACAACAAGGAAAATGATTACAAAGACAAAGAAAACAAGGCCACTCATGTCAATCGCGCCAATAATAGCTATATTAATAGCCCTCTTCAAAACAATAGCAGCATTAGCAATGCTAACAATAATGGAAACAATACCAGAAACACTAACACCGGCCACACCAATGCTACCCCTGTTGACCTGCATGCTGCCTTTCAGCCGATACTACAGGAACTCGAAAAGATGAATGCCCACTCAGAAGTGGACCGCAGGGAAACACAAAGATTGTACGAGGAATTGCAAAGGGCGGTAGCTTCCTCAAATGAGGACCGCGATCGAACAGCTAGACATCTTGAGCAATTGGTTAAGTCTATTGCTGATATTCAAGGCGACAGAGAAGGTAAGAAACTTTTTCTTTCTTGCTTTGTTTGGAGTATATATTGTGGATGTTACTTTTAAACGATATTAAATAAAAATAACAATCGCAATAATGATACGTTTGCTAAACCTTTCTAGCCACGAAAAGAGAGCTTGAGCATAACAGAATAGAGCACAATGAGTTTAGACAAGATATCGATAACCTGTACAGATACCTCAAGCTAACTACCCCAAGTAGGAACGAACGACGTCTGCAGAGAATCCCAAGTGGCGGTGCTGTTGAGATTGTACCATCCAGTCAAACAGAGGAGGATGAAATTGATGACAACATTAGTGAATTCGAAAGCAGAGATCGAGATATTTAATGATATATATATAAAAAGTTTAATTAAATAAAAGATGGTTTTTGAAATTAAAAAAAAAAGATGTCACCGTGGGGGAAATCCAGGAACTGTGCCGCAGCACTAAGAGTATACATCGGACGTTTTTTATTTCATTTCATCTTATCAACCAGAACTTATTTGCCAATATTTTCTCGTTTCTTCCTTTTACCCACTCAACCATACTTTGTAACATCATGCAAACGCATGACTTCATTCCAATCCTTTCTTCTCCTTCGTTTAATTGAAAAGTAACTTCCAGATAACCGACCTAACCATCCACTGTTACCCTTAATAGTCTTGTTCTCCTTGACCAGATCCTCTGGATCTTCTGGCAGCTTCAAATACTGTACCGCATACTCATGTACGCGCTCTGCTAATTCCTCACGGTAAGTTTGTAATGAAACCATGGTATCTTCAGTCATGAATAATAATCGTAATAACGATAACATTGACTTTGCATTGTGGATTAAATCCTCAAGCCAGCGAATCGTCCTATTGATCCAAAAAATGGAGTGCCAAAAGGAGGGAAGGAAAAAAAAAAAAATCAGTCATCAATTTCTTGATAAAAGTGTAAAAAAGAAAAAAAACAAAAAAACAAAAAAAAACTTCAAACTTACAGCCACATGAGAGCGATAATTGCAGGACCAGTGATCAAGGCAATTGGCAAAGTCACAAGGACCCAGAAACCCCAAATCACTGGCAGGAAGAATGTCGCAATCATTAGCTTATACTGTGCAATCTCATCCAAATTATCCTCAAGCGGGCCCTTTTTGCGAATCTGTCTTTCTTGATATCTACCCATGAAAAATAAATAAATAAATAAAAAAGTATTAAGGGAGAAAAGTTTAGAAGGTCCATTATTGAACCAAGGCAGCATGTTAAAAAAAAATGGTTTAATTACTCAGGACTGAGTTCGACATACCTGACAGCGATAAAGACTGGTGCCCAGAGGAATAGTCCAGGTATGCAAATAGTAGACAGAAGGCACGCGAGAAGAAACCGTTGGATGAGTTTGCCAATAAGGACTTTAGCAGAAGTCATTCCCTGCTTAATACGATAATCCTTGAGATGGTAAAAGTCCAATTGGTTTTGATAATCCTATTAGGCGTTTTTTTAATAACAACAATAATAATAATAATAAAAGCGATATTCATTAGGAAACGATATACTACACTTGGAAAAGAAAAAAAGCAAAAAAAAAAAATTGTACAAAAGCATAAGTATTACAGCAAGATCGTGGGCCAAAGCATCCATCTTCTGCACAGTCTCAGGGTCCATCTTGACAGGTCTCTTCATCGTCAATGAATCAGTTGCTGTTGCACTGCCTCCATTGCTCAATTCTTCATCTTTAGCCTCTGAAGCAGCGGCGGCGGCGGTCTCCTGTTTATGTTGACTAAATGCTGCCACAAACTTTCGTGTCAGCCTCAAGTACTGACCCAATGAGATCCGAGTGCCCAAGTGACCCGCATACAATTTACGGGCAGTGTGTCCGATCCTGACAGTATCCCAATCCAGAGCATCCAAGAGGTTTGAGCGGACAGTAGATTCCAATAGATTTGTTAATTTGCGGATGGCTTCGTTGCGTTCTTCCTTGTTGGATGAATACAGTTTAGTGTCCTGTTCAGGTGTGAGGACAATCGGTGCATGGAATGTGACCACGACATCTGATCGGAATTTCTCGCGGTGCAAGTAATTAATGGATGTTGTTATCAATGTTAGTGAAAAATCGGGTTTGTCTTTAAATCGCGACAATGTCTACACACGCAAAAAAGAAAACCAAAAAGGATAGTTAATAATCATGACAAATTTCAAAAGTCGGAGCATCAAAGAGAATTAGATTAAAGACAAACTTACATCACTGGCAATCATGGCAACGCCGGCCTTGAAGGGCGCAAGCTGAGGATGGTATCGTGAAATGCCTTCAGGGAACATACTAAAAATCAACCCAGGCAATATGCAGGTTAAACCGGTAGATCTTTTTTTGCAATCCCAAATTATTTGATGTCATGATCACATTCTCCAAATGAGTAAGTTTGTTGGTTCGTGTTCATAGACCACTTGGGAATAGATTTGAACATGCATTCCATAACCATAACCTAATATCCGGTATTTTGTTATTATCGCTTACCAAACACAACTTCCGGTTCCTAAACTATCGATCAATGCACCCATAGCATCTGTATTGTCCACTTTTTGATTATCATAGTCTTTACGCCGTTTAATTGGGATTGTGCCTGCACTCTTGATCACATAGCTTTAATATGAACGAGGTATATGTCAGTAACCTTTTTTTTCTTTTTTTTTTTTTTTTTATAAATTTGTTGCATCAAAAAAAAAAAAAAAAAAAAAAAAAAAGCATTACTTAAAGACACCTGGCTTATGCCAAAAAGTATCCTTTGCAGTCAATCGGAGCATACTGCGGCTGGTGGGAGGAACTGTAGCCAAGATGGCAATTGCATCCGTTAAACTATTGCTATGGTTTGCAACTAAAACAGCTCTGTTTTTTTAGTATACAGTGGTTTGAATTAACTTTGATCCCACATGACATAATGTGGGGTTCATCCCTTTCCCTCTTTACACAGTTATATCATGGCAGTCTTATTTTTTTTTAACGTTAAGAAATGATCAAAATTAAATAGTTTACCAAGGATAGCAGGATAGTTGTCCGGAGCAATATTCTCAGTTCCCTCGACTTCAACATTGCTATAGAATGAATGAAGACACATCTTGAAGAAGAATCGAATGATCTTGTACATGGGCGGAGGCACATTGGATTCATTTACTTCATGGACTCCCGGAATGACAGAACGATGGCTACTGCTACTTCTACTACTAGTACTGTTACTACTGCTGGATTTGTCATGGCCGTTACTATGGCCATTGGCTTTGTCCACAGCCTGGCTGTGGAGATTGGTCATTGAAGACAAACGAGAGCGTTATGCTGGCGTGGTGTACTTGTACTAAACTATGCTATATGGAGTATATACGTGGCCTGGGAACGGGTGAACAGGAGGTATGGATGTGCGTTGTATTGTGGTTTCTGAGAAAGAAAGAAAAAGAGAGAAAGTCGTGGATTGAAAATAAAAAATAAAATCCCGACGCATGTGGCCCTTTGTCAATTTCTCTCACTAATCATGAATTCATTTGTGTGTCTTTTATGTCTGTTTTACATCCGCTCTAATTTCTTTTTTTACGTTTTCAAGGAGTTGTCCTATTTCAAAAGAAATTGAACTTGCTCAGGCTCCTAGAATGGCGCAACTTGTTTGGTTCGGTCCCAACGGATTTAGTGTACAATTCCTCATCATCCAACACATGCGTATCCGTGATCACACGCACAATGGACGGGTCGGGCTGGATCATATATGGCTCTGACTGGCATTGCATCACCGTCGAAATCACCTCCGTTAGTAAACGGAACTTTTGCCAATGGATCGTTCCATCTTGTCGATTATCTCGATTGCCCTCGCCAATGGACAGTAAATCACCTAAATGGACACCTCTACGTTAAGAAAAAAGAAATCAAAAGTAAGCAATGTGTAAAGGAAGGAAGATTAACTTAATACCATATCTCCATCCACATGATGGAAATCTTGGAGTAAAAAAAAAAAAAAAAAAAACTTACAGATAAGGGATGCAAGGCAGCTTTTGGGTCTTAAGGGCTTGACGATACTCATAAAAACTACGTTCAGAACTCATCAGGTGCTCTAGCTCTTTAAACGTCCCCCAAACCTCCTTACTCTGTAGTAACTCGCGCGTCTGAACTAAACGGTGGATTGACGATGTGTTCATTGCTCCAATGATGGCCATCGTCGTGTTGAAGTTCCCCATATCACGGAGGATCTATAAAGTAAAAGTGAATAAAGAAAGTAAAATCTCAGTAAAGGCCTGAAGAAGAAACATGGTTCAGAATAAATTAAGTAAAATAGGATCCTAACCTTGGCAATGTTGATAAATTTCTCCATCATCTTGGCTCGGCTTTTGACTTTGGAAGAAGACAAGATCATGGTACCGACCCAAGACGAGATAAAGTTGAAATGGCTAATGCAAGCTTGGAATGCCGTCGAGCCCTTGTTTGTCTTCCAAACTTGCCGAAGCATGTCTCTAGGCTATTTAACAAAACATGGAAGAAAAATAATGATTTAAATATCGCAATTAAAGAAAGGATTCAAGCTTTCTTTCTTTCCTTCTATCTTTTTTTTTTTTTTTTTTTTTTGAAGCCAAGGTTGTTTACCTTTAATTTCTTGAACAAACCAAACTCAAGGTAAGTGAGTTGCGCTGCAATAGCTGCATCCTTGATTTCAATAAAAGGAGCATTGCTTGAGAATAAATGATCCATAAGAGGCAATGGGCTGATTCTACCCTGTTGGAATGGATGTACAGGATATTCTTCGCTTGCATCTTTGATATTACTGCTCAGCAGAGCGTTTGGACCCGTATTTACACCTAGAGACTGAAGGGAAACTTGCGCTTGTTGGACAGCCTTTTGCCTATGGGTTTGACTACTACTTCGTTTGCCAATAAATGGGATAGACATTATCGACTGCATTGGTTGATGTTGCTGATGATGATATTGGTGATGATGTTGCTGATGATGTTGCTGATGATGTTGCTGATGATAATAATGGTGATACTGTTGTTGATGCTGTTGTTGGTATTGTCGCTGTTGTAGAGGCACCAAATCACCTTCTGGAAGGCTTACTGGAGTGGCTGCGAAAGCAAAAGATCCTGTGTTTGTAGAGCCTAGACACGCTGACGAGGCAGATCCCCGGCGACTAGCAACGAAAGCCTCCATCGTGCATGGGGATGAAGCGCGCGTATGAACAAGAGAGCCCGTACTGGATCGGCGGTCTCGAGGCAGATGATGGGAAGGTACTACTCGGTAAGACAAGCTATTGTGACAGGTGTTGCGGTTATTCCGAGCAATGGAGTGGGTATAGCTGGTGCCATTATTTAACGTAATTGGGGAGGTGATCTGAGCAGCCGCTGCAGAAAATGAAAGCGAAAAGGGAGACACAGCAACGCTTTCCATATTCAACAACTGACTACTCTTACTGTTCTCTGGGAGAGCATCTTCATCAAACTGGCCCCACTCTCGGTCTTCATCTATTTCAAGCTCGCTAGGAGGTGCTGTACTACCAGCCGTAGCCATTCCTGAAGCCAATCCTATTGTTGATGCTGCAGCCGCAGATGCTACATCATAAAGATTAGGGCCAGAGCCTTCGTCACAAACAGAAGAAGGTTCTGAGCAAGTGGCCATTCCACCGCCGACGCCAACTGTGCTAGATGGCTCAGAGACGGACGAACTCCTTGAATCCGATGATGATGGCACACTGCGTCTTTGTCCACATCCTTGTTCTTGAAAGTAAAATTGATGGTCACCATTTGGCCAGCGCCAGGCGTTAAAGTAATGGATCGATGACAGAGGGAGCAACTTGATATAAATCTCTGTCAAGCATGGGAACAATGCTACGCGCCCCTGCAGAAATGATATAACACATTGTCGCGTTTGGTGATGAACCAAATCATTAGGATGGTCCTTGAGCCAATAGTAAAGGCATGCACAAATCCTAATACATCAATAGGTGTTTCATTTTTAGGAAGTGAAAAAAGACCTCAGGATGCAGCGCTCACTCCATGACACTGGCGCGAATATGGTATCTGAGAGCCTTTTCTTACCTTAATCGCGTGTTTTTGGTTTCTTCGTCATCTTCATCCGGAAATTCACCCAATTTCTCGAACCGCTCGATGAATTTCTCCAAAAGTTCACGGGGCTTAAGGAATTTGCGATAAATCATCAGAAAGGCCTTGGTCTTTGCAATTTGCTCTATGAAAGAAAAAAAAGTCGTCAAGAAAAAATGGTATTAAGTTTCTGTCGGCAATGTTAGGGAATAACTCATTGCGCTTGATAGCTGTCATTGCAGTTCAAACGTCTAGTTCGCTCCAAATCGATGTAGGGTATGCAAAAGAAGGAGACTAAATACAAAGTAAAAAAGCAAAGGGGTAAAGGGAAACGAAGCGGAGGGAAAGAGCCAGGAGGGGAGAGGAAAGTAAATAGCTGAAGATACAAATTAGAAAAAGGAAGAGAGCAAGGGGGAAAATGAAGTGCAGAAAATGAATAATGAGATGAGGGTAGTGGCCAAGTTGGTGACTCTTAAGATATGAGGAAGGCGTGTTCCACAGAAATGAAGGAACACATTGAGGTCGGCCATATTGCTCTAGATACCACTTTCTCGCATACTTTTCTGCATACATTCGTTTATAGCACGCATAGCATCTGACAGCATGTAAAAGAAATGAGTGTGATGAGTAATTTATGTAATTGTTGATAAGGAATGATGGATTGATATGATTATATTGTGAGAAGAAAAAGGGGTAGGAGAGGGAAAACATGCATAAATAGGTGGAGCTGCTTGGAGCTCTTCCTATCATCTACTAAAATAAGCCCAAGATCCACAATGACAAGGGAGAGTTCAAGTTCCATTGCTGAGCAAAAAAAAAAAGTGTCGACTTGATACTATTATTTGCCTCAGCATACCAAAATCCACTTGAAAAATAAAATAAGAGTGGGTTGTACACTTACCAAGAGTATTTACATAGTCGGGGACAGTAAGCTGGTTCACTAGGTCATCTATTGTCACCCCTGGCATAGACTCACTGCACGGCAGCAGCATGGATCATGCAGGTGATTTAAAAGTGAAGGCAGGGTATTAGTTCTGCATGTTTGTAAATTAGGTTAAGTCTAGTGTAACCACGACAAGACTGATCGGCCCAATAGCAGTTCCCCGACTTTGTCTGTGCACCGCCCACACCGCATTATTAACAAAAATCACCGACACCCACTTTAAAAATAATGCGTCCTTCAGAGGTTATTTTTAAGGTATCAGATTAAGCATTCCTTATTTTCATTTCTTGTTTCTTACACAGAGTCCTTGGAGCCACGACGGGAGCGTCCGAAAAAGCCGGGGTCAGAGCTGAGAGATGAACAAATGGGTGGTGATGGAGGCATCAATGAGCGTTGATTATTATGAAACAATAGACGGTTGGCGCTGTTACTGGGTAGGCTCAACTCTAGGTCACTCGAGCCCACTTCAGAGGACTGTGTAGCTGATGTTGTTTGTTTGTATAGAGCAGAAACAGGAACAGGAGGTTGGATGTAAGCGTAATGTACATTTGGATGATAAGCATGCTTTTGATCTTGAGTCTGTGCATTATTACACTGTCCGTTAGCAGTGACCATACCTAGGCCCAGTTCCATACTTTGTATGGCAGCCGACGATGGTGAAGTGGCCGCAGGCATGATCGGAGTAGTGCCAGCAGTTGAAGTGGCTGTACTAGACAAAAGATCATCGGATTGTGCGATCAAAGGTAAAGTGATAGAGGAAAAAAACAGGGAGTTGGGTGTTGGAGAAAGAGGTGGGAAGAAAGGCAGTGGAGGGAGTGAGGTAGGTGAGAAAGCGCAAGATGATGAAGAGGGATTTGAGACCCATGGATCAGGTAAAGGGCTTATTGGCGACACAGGATTTAATCGCGTAGGGACCGATGACTGCTGCTGTTGCTGTGGTTGCTGTTGTGGATATAGATTTTGATAAACTTGTGTTCCTGCGAATCCTAAAGGACTCAGCTCAGGCGACCGAATCCTGGCAGGAGAGAGTAAGTCGGAGGCAGATTTATTTGAGTATTTGGGACCATTCATGACTGGAAATGGAGAGGAGGGTGTGCACGAAGCAGATCGGGTTTGTCGAGGTGAAATCGACTTGATGGAGCTGTCTGATGTGATGATTGGTGGAGATGTCACAACAGCTAGAGCCACTGGTGTGGGTGAGGAAGCTGAAGAGAAAGATGATGATAAAGGAGTGGATGGTAACGTAGAGATGTTGCAGTCGTTACTATAATGGTTCTGGCTGTGATTGTTTTGCTGAGTGTTTCCAAAGAGGGAATTGTAGAATCCAGAAGGAGAAAAGAAAGAGGATGAAGATGACAGTGATGAAGTTCCTGTTGATGTTGAAGCGGAGTTAGAAGTGTGGGTTGAAGCGGAGGTGGGAGGAGGAGTGGAGGGGAATGTTGAAAAAGAAGAGAACAGGGATGTAGACGATGTTGGCGACGAAGAGCAGGATGGCTGGGGCAGTTTAGGATCATGAGAAGACATTCCCGATATGCTGTGCTGGCGAACACGATCACTGAAGGAGCTCGGCAACGGCTCAGACGGTTGTGGTACGACACTAGTGTCGACTGGAACAGAGCCGGGACTAGCGCCAGTATCAGCATCTAATGGTGTAGTGGGGGTCGATGCGAAGGTAGCCAAAGTGACAGTTACTGGCGAAGAGAGAGATCGTGTGGGGGGCGCTGGTGCGAATCGTCTTGAGAGAGCAGAGAATGCACCTTTTGTTTTGCCACTTTTGCTACTAAATGATTTGGCTCTTTCTTTAATTTTTTTGGAGCTGTTGATGAAGCCTATGCTGAAGCTACGGCCATCCATCTCTGAGACGGGTTCATCGCCCTTGTCAAAGGGGTGGCACGGCTGGTAGGGGTGACGGGGCTGTTGCTGGGGGATCTGAAGCTGCAAAAGCTGTTGTTCTTCCCCTTGGTCTAAGCCCTGGCATGGGAAAAAAGTGTGTCTATTTTGTATACCTTCTCGTAGGCTGAGGTCGAGTAGCTGCTGCTCAAGAGCCACGTCCTTTAGTGTGTTCCTGACGAAGTCGCTTTCCTCGCACCCATGTGAAGAAGACGCACGGGTGTTGTCTGCTGATGCTGCGGGAAGGGGGTTAGCTGTGAACATGATGACTTGTCTGTGGTGGATGCTGAACTTTACTGCAGGTTGTGTGTTTTGGCTCTATATGCTTGATTGTGTATGTGTGGTTGAGGGGTTGAGAGAGGGAAAAAAGAATTTAAGGTGTCGATTTATGGATGCACTGGGGTAAATACACAAAATATGGATGGAAGAACTAGCTGAAGGGTTGATCTGACCGAAGATATTATTAGCGCGTGATAAACGTGTCGTGTTTGACGGAGTTGGCGCGTGCACTCCGTGTAAAAATGTGTCACAGGCGAAAAATGCTTAAATGTCGTACTAGAAACGGATGGTGATACGAAACGGAGGGAAAATTAACAGAGGCAGGTTGGTTAGTGAAAAATACTGAAGACAAAAAGTATGGTCAATGGATAGGTGTGTGGACGAAGCGATCTGATTACAATCAACTGGTGAAATGAAAATTACAAAGGAGTAACACGTCTTTTTGCTATGCTTTGAGTAAAACAACAGCAGCCACAAAATATAAAAAAGAAAATAGAGCGAAAGAATGAAGAGCCATTCAATGATGAATATCGACTTTATAGGATCAAAGACGCGTAATAACGAATTACATTTGTGTCTGGACCACATACAAAGAAATGAGTCGCTCCTCTTTGCAGATCCCCCCCCTTTTTTTTTTTTTTTTTTTTTTTTTTTTTACTCCTCAATGTCGCTTTAAGCAGCAAGAGAGAAGCAGGAGAATACTAAAAAGAAAAAAAGAAAAAAAGAAAAAAAGAAAAAAAGAAAAAAAAAAAAAAAAAAAAAAAAGGCATGAAAAATTGAATGAAGGAATGATCAAGGAATGTGAATGGCGAATGTGAATGCGAGCAGAGAAGGAAAAGAATGCATACAGTACTTCACACGCATCCATTATCAGGATATTAGGTTGCTGTATAGAGTATAGCTGATTTTATTAGTGTGAATACTAAAAAAAAGCGACGATGGTACAAAGCATAAGGATGGACGGACGTGTCCGCTCTCCATAAAAGATAAGTCATGTTGTAGGCCCAATTGTGCAATAGTGCATGTATAAAAAATAAAAAAAGAAAAAAAAAGAAAAGAAAAGTGCAAACAACAGTACTCAAGCAGAAGTAACCACAGCAATAAAGACACGCGAGTTTGCTTATTGCCCAGACAACGAGAGAGTCAATAGAGAGAAGAGAGAGAGGTAAAAGAAGAGGCCGAAACGGAAAAAGAAGGAAGAGGAAAGACAAAGGAAAGCAGAGGAGGCGAAAGAGAGAAAAGGAAAAGGAAGAAAGGAAGAAGGAAAAAATAAAAAAGTACAAAAGACCGAAGGAAGGAAGCACCGCGCTTTTTTTTTTTCCTTTTTTCTTTTAACCCTCTGGGTTTTACTATTTACTATTTGTGAGGCTGCCTCGGGGCAAGAGACACCCGTTTTCTAAAGCTCTGATCTGCTTTGCCACCAAGGGTAATTGATAGTACAAAAAGAAAAGAAATAAAGGAAGGATGGAAGGATGGCACAATGCACCGGAGAAAGAGAAAGCAAAAATTAGAGATGCAGAGTGGGAAGACAGACAAAAGATAAAAAGAAAGAAAGGAAAAGGGGATCGAAAGAAGGTCCTACATTGGGGGCAGCAAGGAGGAAGGGAGGAAGGGAAGCAGGGAGAAGTAAGTGAGGAGGGGGTGGGGGGAATATCATCAACAGCCAAAAAAACAAAAGAATCCAAGCATAAGACAGACTATAAGAAGGAAGATGGTTGTTGCATGGACTGCATGACATGACACGGCATGGCGCGCGGTATAGTGTAGCATGGAAGGATGGCATTGCATTAGAAGAAGATAGCGATCCAACTATGATGGTAAAAAGATCTCCTCGTCCTATCGGGTATCGGGACAACTTGGGATAAGATTGTACACAGACCAAGCCCTCTCACGGACTGTGGATCATTAACAAGACGCGAGGCACAAGGCCTGAGAACTAAGCACTCAAGCAGAATGGCAGTAAAGCAAAAGGTAAATACAGCATCTCCAATGGAACATGTTGATTGCCAGGGATAGCGCATAGTTGATTGTTCGTGGGGCCTCCTTACTCCAACAGGCCGGGAGGTGCGTCTGGAGTTGGAAATAGGCAGACAAGGAAGCTTTGGACGCATAAAGCGCACAAGGCATAAGCGTCCAGAGGAGCACACACATCACACATACCAAGGGGGTTGACCAATGGCATGAGTCCAACGGAAGAGTGTCGCGTCTCGCAAAGTTCGTTAACATTCGAACACACGTTCATTTGCTCTGTGATGTATTTCAAATGTAATATGTAATACACATCTAAGCACCTCATTTACCAATAAAAAATAAAGAATGTGGATAAAGAAAAGAAAGTTTCTTACTTTGTCGAATCCTGGATGTTCGCTCCTTGTCTCTCCTTGTTTATCTTTTTAGTAAACGGCAATGATTAATCAGAATAAACACGATCAATGTCAACATGACATGCAACGGATGAACATTCTGTCACAGACTTTCTCTCCTCTCCCCTCTTTTTTTTTTTTTTTTTTTTTTTTTTAGTTTCTTATTCTCTTTGGATGCCAACGACCCCCACAGACAAGTCTTTGTTCCCTCAGGTAAAAGGAAGCGATGATACAAGGCCATAGAAAAAAAAATCAAGTGGGTAAATTATAGAACCGCCCCACCCTGCGGTTTGCTATTTGGCACTGTAAGGAGCGAAACAGGCAGGATGTGTGGAAAGGTGGCATATCGCTCGGAAGCAGTGGCGCATTCAACTAACCAAACCAAACGAAAAGCATAAAAAAATGCAATATAAACAATAAAGCATGAAAAGAAGGAGAGAGGGCGAAGAAGAAAGAAATGAGAAGTAGGGAGTAAGCATTGAGGGGAAGAGGGGGCTTTTTTTGTCTTAAAATCCTTAATATTTTTTATTTGAAAGGGATAACAGATAACCAATAAATTGAGACATGTCCGCAAGTAATGCCAATTAGTAGTGCAGATAGAAAGCAAAGTAAAGATCGATCAATTTGAGTGGGTTACCGACTCTGTAAACTTGTTAAAAAGTTCTGCTTGGTTTATTAGACTGCGCCAAGAAATACATTAGCCGTCATTATTGATCATCTAAGGGAGCATGGGTGGGTAGCAATCCTAATCACTCATCTTCAATTAATACGCCGTTTTTTTTTGTCATATTTCCTTGATGAGAGCGGAAAGGGGCCCAATGATAGTTATATTCATACATCTCCAAATTGTCAAAGGAAATGAAAAGCTTTTCAATTTCATGCAATTTCATTCTCTGATAATCAGCAGTTGAGGTAAAAAGTCTCTTTTGTGCAAGCCCTTGCATGAGGATTCAAAGACGAGAAATGGGTAAAGCTCGACAAGGGAAAACAGGGGTAGTGGAACAAAATGTTGTGAGGCCTGTAAAAGGAAAGATGAAAAATCAAAATGGAGGGTCGCCAATAGCACTTTGATGGCAGCAGCGGTAGGCCTTGGTCAACAAACCGTGACGACGAGACAAGGCAATGGACGGATGATGAGCTTGCTAGCAAGGCTAGTGGAGCAAAGCACTAGAAGACCAATCCACATTGATTTCGTTTGAAGATTAAAAGCTAATAAAGCTTCAAGGAATGCGATATGATATGATCATTGTACTCAAACCTTCCACTTGTTGGATGTACTTGTTTGTAACTCAGAAGATTCGATAATTTTAAATCCACACACCACGCTAATAGTCGAGAAAGAGAAATAAGAGAAATAGGGGAATGAGGCAGGATGGTACAGCAGAAATATTGAACAGTGATAAAACTTCCCATTGGAACCCTTGAAAATATATGCGCATGCATGTATTTAATGATAAGAACCAGAAATGAAAGCGAATTTTGTCAGGACGAAAGTCACATTTATTTTTATTTTTATGAAGTCAAACAGATTCTGTTTACTAATTTTTAGGCAATCACTGTTCGCCCCACATCTCTATGCCTAGACATTGTGGAAGTAAGCATGACTATCACCCCTAGTAAATCGTTCAATACAACATGATAAATCTAGAGTTCATCATGATCTTCGTCCATGTCTTCGTCAGCTTCTGCAATCTCCTGAACCAAAGTTCTCTCCTGATCTCTTGCTGCCTCCACCTCTGCTGCATCCTGGTTGACAGTTTTAAGAGGAAAGCGCATTGCCTAGTGGGGGTGGGAACGACAGGGCGTGAGAAGGATTACAATATTAAGCGATAAGCGTCTCTTTTTTTTACTGTTGCTTAATATATATGCAGTTGTAGGTCATGGACAAGAATGCTTTATGGCATTTTACCTTAACAGAGTCGTTGTGCAGCTTGAGACAGAATGCAATTCGTTGATGGAACGCGTGCTGGGGTTCATTTGTTGAGTAGATGTCCACATTTTCTTTGGATCGCATGAAGCCCTTCTCGTGATCGATTGTTGCATCAATGACTCCATCACGAATCGATTTGGCGACAATGTACTCTGCGTCTTCCTCGCTATCCAGATGCAGTTTGAGACAAACATCGCGTAATGAGATGCGGGAATATGAGAGTGAGATCATGCGGATACCGGTCTTGATGACATTGTGACGCAGACGCAGAATCAATGTATAGTTCTTATCCGCATGAAAAGTTGCTGAGTGCGCTGCAAGCGTCTCCTGGAATTTGTTCAGGTCTCCTACGCGTACAGCCTGTGTAATTTGAAAGTAAGGGATCAGAGCCTTGCGCAGCACTGGTTGTCTGAACAATGAGCGCTCAGGGATCTCGCCCATCAACAATTGGACGATAATCAAAAGTTTGTTCGCCTATATATGGGAGTAATTGAAAGATACAAGGTATTAGTGACACTAAAATAGACAGCCATTGAAAGTGTTAAGATATAGGTACAAGTCAAAGCAGTGGCATTTGCCGGTTACCTCCTGCTGGAATCCTGCGGTGACATTGTTCTGAGGAGCTTTACGCACGGCTTGCAAAAGGCTTTGGTGGCTCTCAGTGTAGTCAAGCTGGATAGCCTTAATCCTGCCAAGATAGTACATATATCTAGCCAACTGGTTATTGGTGGCATTCTCGGGGAAAGTTGTTTTGGAAACAAGCTTGTCTGCCTGATCATAGAGATTGTAGTGGAAGTAGTTGCGCAAGAGTAGATTAATTAATGTTGACTGAGTATCATCATCTCTACGAAGAGTGGCCGTGCGTTGGGCGTTTAGCAGCGTGGGGCGAATCTCGGCGAGGCGTCCAGTCACTTCATAAAATCGCGCATAGTAGAAGTAGACCTTGGCTGCAAGCTGGTCCAGCGATCTTCTATTTAAATCCTGGACGACCTTGACTGTGATGTTTGATAACTCAATACCCTAATATCATAATAGACGGAAGCATAGGTATGTAGTTAGGCGAGGGTTGGGTTGAGGGGATAATTTATAATCACCAGAAATATACACATACCTTTTCGTGCTGGTTCTGGTCCAACAAGTAGATCATCACGAGCAGATGCAGATACACATCTACTTCAGGGGTTTCAAACTTGGTCACTGTAACTTCGTCCTCGGGAGTGATGCTACCCAAAGCTTCTGATCCAAGATATCCAAGAAGGAGCTTGCGTGCTTCATCATCTGTAGTTAAAGGGAAAAGGAAAGTAAGGGAAGAATGGCTCGTGGCGTCAGCCCTGCTTCAATCACTAGAGTCTCAGTATATTCCCCATTGGTAATAGTAGATCATTACCTTTTCCATAAGAGCTAGCAATAGTCCTTGCGAGAACAGCTACAGTAAGGCGCTTGCGTAGAGAGCTAACAGACCTCAATGCACGAATAGCAAAGCGAGCCTCATGAGTCTTAGCTGACTTTGTGAACAGTACAAAATGCTGCTTAATATCTATTGTATGAATTTGGAAAGCGATCGTTAAGCAGTGTATATTTTCGGTTTTCAAATCAAGGCTGCCCTTCCTTATCTCGTCTGGGCATAAGTGATGGGTAGGCTACCTGCAATAGCCAATGCCTCAAGCTCTTTAGCACCAAGGACCTTTTCCTTGGGCGTCTCTGTCGAAGTGGTGGCGGATTCCTCCATCTCGACGTCCTGGTCGACTGCCTTTACTTTTCCTTTGGTATCTTCCTCCTGATTCTTGTTCAGACGACTTGAGCGGCGTGGTGCTTCAGACATCTTTTATGTTATTTTCAATAGTCCTGAGACGAATGGTTTGTAATATGAGGGAATTGCGAAAAGTGAGAGAAGGTATATGTTAAAATAATGGGAATGAGGAATGGGTAATGAGTCGCATACGCGTCGCGACTTAGTGTATCGGTAGCTGAAATTACGCTGCTTTCAATGGCGTCACCTTTGGGTCTCGTGATATTAGAGAGAATATTCAATTTCATCCTTGAAAAGCACGTCTATCAGACATTTCTATACAAATATCGCTTTTAACAATGGATGGTGGATGCGATAGAAGTTGATCTCCTACTGGATCTGGTATATATACAATTGTCCAACGTTGATTATTTTGGATTTTAAAGATACAATGCAAAGTGTGGCAGAATGTTACTTAGAGTCCTAGGCTTTTCAATATTTTAAACGCTCAGAAGAAAACATTGCCAACAAATTCTTAGCTTGCAATAAATATGCTGCTTCATTGTATTGGTATGCTTTATTGCATGTTCTCATTCAAATAAAGAGCTACTATCTTTGATGAGGTTTGAGCTTAGTCCTATTATATTTGTTGATTTTTGTCCGCCCATCACTCTTTAGCCAACCTCCACCTTAAAAGATCGAGCTTCGGTTAGGAAAAAAAAAGAAAGTAAGCTGAATTGAACTAATAACAATACCAATTAGTATACGCCTTTGCGGATGTAAAGCATTTATTAGAAGACATATTAAAGCGGACTAACTCCTGCATAAGCATGATAAGTATTTGTACTTCAACGCTTTATAAGTTCCAATCCAATACATCTACTCGTCGTGATATAGCCTCGTCATCGCCTGTAGTTCGAAACGCATGTTGACGACCACTTATTAATAAAGCCGATTCGCGTATCGAATTGATGGGATGAACGGTTTCAACATTATCGCGCGAAGGGAGAGGTGCAAGATAGTAAAAATACTCAATAGAGAGAAGGAGAGATAGGAAATATTTTAAAATATATATTTTTCCTTGCATTGATTATCACCATTTCATCATTTTCAATTTCAATGCGACCGTCATCTACATCCCATTGTACAGACGTTGGAGTCCTGAGCCTGCTGCAGGCCATTCCATGTCGTTACTGGATTATATTGCTCTGTGGATTCGGACTGATGATCTCTTATGCAGGCATGTTCACCAAAGAATGAAAATAAAGGATATGACGAACGTGCACAAGTTCTAATAAAATGACGCATCCAATGTTCCAAATGTCTGTTGTTCTCTCTCACGGATAGATCGGTCAAATATGGCTGTAGCAATTGTGGCTATTGCACGCGAGTATGGCTACACAAAACCTCAACAAGGTCTCATCTTAGCCGCGTTCTTTTTAGGATACATTTCAACACCCATCCTTGGAGGCACATTGGCAGATCGTTATGGCGGCAAGTCTGTCCTTGCCATTGGTATGAATGCCATCAAGTCCTATCTATCTATTTTTATACACTCTCTGCACTGAACCCTTTCAGGAGTGAGGGTTTTAGAGATATAAGTTTTATTCTTTTTTTTTTTTTTTTTTTTTTTACATTCAGGTGGATTGATTTGGACAGTTTTTACAATATTAACGCCTCTTGCATCGAGTGCTGGAGTTTTCTGGATAGTTGCTGCTCGTATAGGACTCGGGCTAGGTGAAGGTATACACTTCACAAGAATATCTCAGTAAATGGTTTTGCTGTCAAAGGAGAATAATGCTAGTGTCTGAGAAAACGGTATTAAACTATGAAGTAAAATCGCGCTCCGGCGTTTCTTTTTTTTTTTTTTTTGTTTTTGGAAATTACTAAGGTGTTGCATATCCTTCCGTTCATGCGATGATTGGAACTTGGATCCCACCAAATGAACGCTCCAAGGCTGTTGCGACTGTCACAGCTTTTGCATACTTGGGCTCCGTTATAGCCCTTCCAACTTCGTCAGCCTTAGTGGTGTCTTCGTGGGGCTGGCGAAGCATCTTCTGGCTCTTTGGGATCCTAGGGTCAGTGTGGAACGTGGCATGGCAGGTAAATTGTACGGAATGAAGGAGGTTTAGCATTATATAGTAAGACCGCTAATGAATATCCAATTCATCGTTATTACCGTCTTGCCTCTTTTTTTTTTTTTTTTTTCTTTTTTAACAAGATCTGGGGTGCAAGCGAGCCGTCTTCTTGCAGATGGATTTCTGAACATGAGAAACACTGGATTTATCAACAGCAGCAACTGGACCGACGGCGCGACGTTATACGGGATAATGGTGCATTATTGGAAAGGATAAATTCCAGAAATACACTGGATCAGGAAAACGATAGCCCACAGCACATCCAGGCAGCACTTGCTGCATTAAGAGGGACGTTTATCGCCTATCATTCTCTATCGCCCACTATCGATGACAGTAACTTGGATGATACAACTACCCTATGTGTTTCCGAAGAAAGTGATGGCTTGAATGATCACCTAAAGGTCCAAACGATATCATTCTCGCCAGGGCTCAGTCCAAGCAGGACAACCGCAACCGAATCTCTATCATTGACAGCATGCAGCTCACGCTGGGAAATATTTCGCAACAAGATACGATCCAAGAGACGTGATGGTGTTAAGGTAGCCAGAAGTACGCCTGTACCATGGAAAGAGTTAATAATGCGACGAGAAGTTTGGGCAATCATTTTTTCACAGGTAGTGATAAAAACAAATAACAAAAGTAAAGAGTAAAAGCAAGAGGTCCCAGATTTTTAAACAACAATCGAGCAAAAACGACTAACCTAAAGAACTATTAGTTATTTAACTCGTTCGGCTTTTTCATAATGCAGTCCTGGCTCCCCACATTTTATCTCGATTATTATGGTGTGGATGTAGGGAAGATTGGTTACTTTGCAGGTAATTTCTCTTTTTTATTTTATTTTAATTTATTTTGATATTTTATTTGTTGCATTTATATCTTTACTTCTATGTAAAAACTATAGTCGTACCATCAGCAGTACAAGGCACCATGGGGCTAGTAGCAGGTTATCTTGGGGATAAAGCCGCTCAGGACTGGCACTGGGCAACATTAACCGTCCGCAGGGCAGGTCAAACAGTCGGCAGTCTCGGCTTGGGCGTTTTCTTGTTGATTGCCGTTGGCTTTGCACACACAGCAACATTGGCCATGGCTTTGATCACCATTGGAATGGCTCTAAATGGATTCACTATGATCGGGGCGTCTGCTTATCAAGTACGCTTGCTATATTATGTTGTACTATACAATGCTTAATTCTATATTTATTTACTCATATTTTAAAGGTATATTTTTCTAATTTTTTATTTTGTTTGCTTTCTATAGCACGATTTTTGTCCTGAGTATGCGGGGTTTATTTTCTCGCTTGGAAACACTGCAGGCTCCATTCCAGCACTCTTTGGTGTTTTCCTAGTTGGCGTACTACTCGATAATGGCGGTGGTAATAGCGGCACCAATCCATGGGCTCTTGTCTGGACCATAGTCTGTCTCTTTTACATCACTGGAACCATTCTATTCATACTGCTGTCAACCCACAAGAAGTTTTCTCTAAACGCCATTACCACACTCGCGGGGCAATGAATTAAAAGTCCAGAAAATAGAGGTGGACATTTGTACGTTTGTTCGGTGCTTTAGTAGCCAGTGTAGAAAAATGGAATAGCTTCCAACATTTTCAAATCTACTATCATACGTTGTTCCATCTATGAAAAGTCTATCCTGCCGTAGTCGAGTTTCTTAAGTTTTTTTTTTTTTTTTTTTTTTAAAAAAAAAAAAAAAAAAAAAAAAAAAAAAAAAAAAAAGGGGTTCTTTTAGGATAAATGTTTGATAGAAGATGAGAATATCCGATCAAGCTCATATGCTTTTCTTCTACGGTTTTTCGATATAACGCATTGTTCATTGTTCTTCCTTAGCCAAATTGCAAAAGTAGGGTACTCTTCGTTTCAAATACTTCAGATCAAATAAGCCTTACTCTTAATTTAAATGGTATATTTTGTATTTTTTTTTTTTTTGTTTTGTTTTGACAATCAATTGAGCAAAATAGTGGTCTTTTTCTTTAGAAAACAGCACAGCTCTTGTCTGACGTGGCCTATACTTCGACCAGAGAAAGTGGCACAAATTGTTTACTTGTTTGTGTTTACTTGAGTGTGAATGTTGAACAACCTCAAAAGCAAGCTGTCCTATTTTCATCATGTTACTTGTTACCACATGTATTTACTATGCTACCGAAAGATCTGTGTTTATTTTACAGAATAAATAAATACATGTCTCTTTCGCTCTTAAAGAAAAGAGCAAGATTTAATGCGAAGGTGGAAGCACAAAAGCAGTGAAGTGATCAAGGAATCAACACACCAGATATTATCCAGGGATCGTTGTTATAGTTCTGGAGGAATAGATCGATAAAGGTCCCATTGAAAAATCCTCTTGCAATATCGATGGTGTCAAATTGTGACAGGCTTTTTACAAAAATCCCAATTGTGGATCATTTTTAGATCCCACAATAAAGACAAGTTTTCAATCCCAGTTTTTCTGAGCTTTCCAATTGTTTTCGCCAGTCACTCAGGACAAGGACTATAAAAGCACCTTTCAATCGGGAAGCTGTTGTTTCTGTATCGACTGTACTTACAGGATCTCTGTCTAGTACATCTCTAGTCTTTGTTTTCCAACTCAGACACACAGTTTACTCTCGACGATGAGTTGCAGCGCGCTGCCCGTAAAGGGAAGCGAAGCAACAGGTCTTGTTCCTCTGGGACAGTTCCTGGTAGCTTATTGATGATCTTGTCTGGCCTTATGTTAATAAGACCATGATGAGGGCGGTCGCGCATTCTGAGAGTTTACCTTACACTTTTCTCTTATATTCAATCAAATCAATCATCCAAATTTTTTCGTAACTCTCTTCACTCTTATATTCAAAGCTATGCCATGAAGTTGAATGCGGTTCGGATGAAGAAGACTTGCTCCAGATCTGAGAGACCTAATAACTGGAAGGCGAATGCGATGTAAAGGGCCGCCACTAAGGTCTCGGTAGCTGTCCCTACGACAGTTAGAATAAGAACATTTACTGATGACGATCGATAAACACTCAACATCCACTATTCAACATTGACATGTAAAAAATTGAATTGTGTAGTGGCTACTAGAATGGCGTAAATTGTACCATTGATCCAGAATAGGCACATGCGAACAGCGATCCTCTTGTAGGAAGCCCTTTAGCATAGCAAAACTAAAGAAAAAAAAAAAGTCAGTAGTTCGTAAAACCCGTTGAAAAAGTACTTGTACATGGGAACGCAACCATGAAGCTAAATGACTATGCTTTAAAACATCAATACTTTCCAAAACTGCCCTGCATAATTTTGGACTGGCTCCTAATTATTGTATTACCAGTGTTTCTCCTATGATTGACTCTCTTTGCTCAACTTGACCCCTGACACCCCTTGTACTTGTGATGGTGAATGACGAGTTTATGCTTACTCAATATCAGTAGCATCTACACCATTCCTTGCGGCAAACGATTTTGAGAGATCCTTAAAGCTGGATTATATGGTGCTGGACATAGATGTAAGTGGTTCAAGTCAGCTTTGTCTTCAAAGAATTATTTTTTCTTTTCCTGTATTGGAATGATGCATGTGCTGCAATGTGAAGAGAGAAAGAAAGGAAAGGAGAGGAGAAGATGTGTGAGTTACTGGCACAGATGATGGTATAGATACAATAAACAGAAGGAGACATATGCATATATACAGTTGTTAGTCATTTTTAAAGACCAATTGAGCTTTGCCTCAAGGACGATGAAGGAAATGTGGGACACCTAGACTAAGAGATATAGAGCAAAGCTCATAGTTGTTAAAAAAAAAGCATGCGAAGGAGGCATCGGATAAGCTACGCACAAAGCATGAGCACTTTGGGGCAATCAGCCTCAGGAGAAGCGAGCTAACTAAAGCCCAGTTTGATAGCCACACTAGCTGTGCTAGGACTAAGAGAACTGACTATGTATTGCTCCCTCTTAGTCGTGCCCTTGGCCACACGTAATTGAACCCGAGATTGCGCCGTCACTAAATTTTAGGTTAGTGCGTCCATCAGTTCCGCATCTTATCAAAACAAGACTAGTCGTACGGGGCTTACATAACTTTCGAAGTTTTTAGGGAGAGAAGCCATAAAATACCCCGGCATTTCGGCCAATGGGCAGGGCTAAAGCGCAAATCGCTTACAAAAAAAACTGAGAACTAAAGAGAATGGAGGATAGAGGAGGGAAAAGGGACGGGCCTTTTGTAACAGGGCTTCATTGGCCTTAAACGTTCAAATTCATAAAAAAAGTTGCCGTTTAATTGGTTCTCTATTGCTGATTGCTTTTTTTTTTTTTTTACTCTATTTGTCTGTAGAGCTTTGGAGGTTATTCAAAAAATGAAGTGTATTTTGAAAAGACCAAATGTTCACTTTTTTCTTTGGTTAATAGACAAAAAGGAGCATAAATAGGGAGAGGACAGCAAAAAAAGGTAGGATGAGCATTACAAGCAATGGGAATAAGCTTATAACACAGTAATATATTAATTTTGTTCTCATTCAAGACAGGGGACAGCAAATAAAGCACTTGGAGACATTGAAATTCGGTTGAGCGACAAAGGAGGAAGTGGAAAGGGAGAGCCTTGTAAACATAGCCTTGTCTCCTCTTTTCTCTCTCACTTCGAGACTCAATTAGGGAGCCTCTAATCTCATTTCTTTAGGCTCCATAACCCATGTCCTCGCGTTTTCAGACCCTCTCATCTTTCTGTACTCATCGACTTATGTCTTTGCGCTTTCCTCACTCTTTGTAATATGGAATAAATAATATGCCATGGAATATTGAATGTAAGGTAGGGCATTTTCTTTGTGCTTCGTATAGCGGCTTTGCCAGCCAGGAATAAGCTGATCAGAAGTGAAAAACCAATAGGCGATCATATTTGGTGTTGCAACTACGCCCCATCATGCCTTGCAAAAAACAAAAAAAACCATTCATGTAAAAGCAGAATAATTATAGCAATAACAAATTGTTTGAGCTCAGAACAACGTGGCCGTGGATTGGGCATTGAGCCTCATGTAATAGTACTGATGCCCCTAACACGAAGGTATTCTTTTGTAGCAGCTCCTGAGCATTGGCATGCAAATGGAGTAATCGCAAAGAGACAGTATTTAAAACGAGCTGTATCTTTGATCCAGCCCTTTTCTTCCTTCTTTGTTTGGACCTTTGCCTTTATCGATTTCTTCCCTTACCATAAAATAGTCCTCGCTCGCCTTTATTCTCCCCCATTTTGCTTCGCTCGCTAAAGCATAACAAAGCAACAGTGATTTCGGAATAGAAATTCTCCTAATAACACTAGCACCATGCTTTTCAATCACCCCAGTGCCTTCGTTTTCTCAACTCCATACCAAACAACTTCCTCATCATCCCCATACTCGGCCCCTTTAAGAGGCCTACATATCCAATTGACACCTCCACCACATGTTGGAGCATCCGAGGGTCCAACTTGGTCACCATATCTCAAGTCGTCGCAACAAGTCTCTTCTCGATTGTATGATCACAACCATATGAACTGGTCTTCTACTAGCTTTTCGAATATCTCACATGGCCGTTCCCGAAGCGGCCCATCATCATCATCATTGTCGGTATCATCAGCGTCAATATCAGCATCCATGGCTTCTTCTGCATGCTTCTCTTTGTCAATGCCAAGCGAGGACGGCGATACAGTTGAGGAGCTTGATGAAAGAGATGTTTTTAATGATAGATGGAAGAGGTTCAATCTTGAAGAGATGGCACAAGAGCCTCCAAGCCCATTACCATCCTTCTCTAAGATCATCGCCATCTCATCCGATCAATAAAAGAGAGAGAATGCAGGCTTTTGCTTACATGAGACAGATCAAACATCTCCCATCTTTCACGCGCGCCTTTTTATCTTTCTGTCAAAGGATACTAAAAAAAAGTAAATGAAATAAAGTGTACAGAATCTTCCCTAAATGAGTGGGCCTTTTTTTTTCTCATTTTCGCTATTATTACTTGCTTCGCCAAAGGTTGGATCGATCATATGGTGCAATGCATGCTGACCACAGTTGAACCGCAAAAGAGCACAAAAAGATGCTGTTTGCAAAGCAGTCCACTTCCTTTTTTTTTTTATTCTTGATGGTGGCAAAAATGGTGACCTGAGCGTTATTGCACTCTATTTAGTACATACATTACCTCCTGTCATCTCATTCTTGTCATCAACTACATCCACAATAGTAACAACAACAGCAACAGCAACAGCAACAGCAGCAACAGAATCAACAACACACGCAGATACTTGTCCTTCTACCTTCCTCTCATCCCGCTGTCCATCGCCGGCTAAAGTCATTCTCAATCGCACATCATCCTACCCCTTGCGCACTTACAAAAAAGAAATCCATAACAAAACTCGGTCCAAGCGCATTTATTGCGCTTTTGTTGAATGAGAGCCTGAGGAAGAAAGTATCGGCTTCTGACTACACGTCAAGTATCGCAATGCTGTCATCTTGCACAACGCTCCCATTGCGACGACTTCGTACCCCTTTTGGCGCGCCATGTTTTTTGCGTTTTATGGACGTATTTAGACCAAGAAGTGCTAGTTTCCCTCAAAACTTCACTGTGGATATAGCGCGTCAGGGGCAAAGAAATTCTAGCCGAGATGCCACTTCGACTCATGTCAAATCAAGGTCATATGACTATGCAACAATGGCAGGAATTCCTAGAGTAGTATCACCCCAACGACATGTTACTACGTTGACTACCGGTCGACCGAAATATAGCTCGCCTGTGAAAAAATCAGAAAAAGCCGTCCAATCATCATTGATATCGTCTTTGATATCATCGACGCCGTTATCATTGTTATCATCAATATCGTCATCAGCGCCAAAAACACAGAGGTCTATAAGCTTTCCTCGACCAGGGAATTTAGTACCACCTGGTCCGGATGCATTACCCTATCTGGATTTTAGAACGAATGATTCAAGAGAAGTTTTTTATACGAATAATGAAGAAGAAGCTAACCTTTGGCTGGAGTCTCCAGAATCAAGCCGGTATGTTTTTTTTTTCTTTTTTTTTTTTTTTTTAAAAAAAAAAAAAAAAGCACGAGTCTGTTCTCTAAAACAATCTTTTATAATTCTTCCAACCTTTTTGTTATTCAATAGAACGAAAATGTGGGCATTTGATCTCGAATGGAAAGCATACGACTATATAACGCGAGGAACCGGCCGCGTGGCACTTGTCCAACTTGGTAACGATAAAACCATCTATCTCTTTCACGTGATCCACATGAACAAGTTTCCATCAGTGCTTGCCCGTATCTTGGAGGACCCACGAGTCCTTAAGGTCGGTATTAATATCCAGTAAGCTAATCACCTCTAGACTGATGTTTCGTGATTTCATTGAAATGACTTGTTATTCTACCTCGTTTTTATCATCTATTTATTTCTATAAATCTAATGTTCGATTGCTCAGCTAATATATACGGTGGTGTTTTCAAAATGGATGCTATAGAAATGATGGAACCAAGCTCATGAAAGATTGGGGCGTTGGGTGTGCCAGCCTTGTGGAATTAGGTGTACTCTCGTTTCAGCTCCAGCCTGACCCATCACAACGTATAGTCCGCAGCATGACAAACTTAACAAGGGAGTTGGTAATTTTTTTTTTTCTTTTTTGGTAAAGAGACGCTAGACAATATAGGGCTTCTCAAAAATAATCATAGCTCATCCTTCTTTTTGTATTGTTTCTCGCCCTGTACATAGCTTAAGCATGATGTTAAGAAAAACAGTAGTACAAGAATGGGTGACTGGGATCGCAAGTGTTTATCATCAAAGCAATTAGCGTATGCTGCAAATGATGCGTTTGTTACATACAAAGTTGCGGAAAGAATCAAGGAATTGCAAATGCTTCAGCCTCCGCCTAAACAGGATTATATTGTACGACTTATAACGATCGGTGCTGACGGAGCCATACGTTCTGATGTGCGTGGCACGTTACAGGAGCGTGAGAACCATGCTATGTCAATCCTGGATCTTGTAGATCGACCGTTAAAAGGCTCTGCAGTCAAAAAGTCTTCACCACTGGGAGATGAGTTGCCTTTGAGCACGACTACAGGTATTACACCTGCAACAAAAGTTACAATGGCTGGACACAACTCTACAATTAGGGCGCGAAGGAAACAAAATACTAAAGCAAAGACATCAGCCGCACCTAAATCTTTGGATAATGTGATTATCCGTTTGCAAAAGTCAGAAACCGCCTCTTCTTCCTGGGATCTACCATCTGAGTCGCCAAGAAAACGCACTATAAAAAAGCTGTCTGCGTTGAAGGGAGATCTCAAATTTTTCTATACGAATAATGAAGAGACTCATCAAGCTATCAGGCACGGAAGTAGAAGCGTCGTCACTGTCATACCCTTAAAGCAGCGACAGCGATTTTTACGGCAACAAAAGAGGACATTCACGGACGAGAGGTTTACTTCTAGAGAGAGTAGTTGCAGAGCTGACAACAACAATGATTATCATGGAGGAGGTGCCACTTCTGATAGCAACGGAGCAATTGAGATAAAAGGACATAGGTATGATGGCGATGTTTATTTGCCAAGTCAGTTGCTACCGGAGCCATTAGACGGAAAAGACGTGCTTGAAAGGAACCAGGCAGTTTGGCTAGAATCTAGTGGTAGTGATCATTTTGACAGCTCAGCTTTGTTGGACAGAGAAGATTGGTATCTAGGACAGAACCAGGCTTTATTTCAGTCACTTGTGTCAGACTCTATTGCTGGGGAAGCAATACCTTCGCGTAGAGACCCAGCGGGGTCAGAATAAAGTACACTGTACATATTTTATGTAGAAATTGTTACTCAGGTGAAACTTGTTTCTGGGCCTCTCAAGCATGAAACGCAGCAATCACGTGATGTCTATCGATATTTTAGGCTTCAGCCGTTGAAGTTGATTGATTGATTGTTGTCACAAAAACTAAAAAGCATTGAATTACCATGCCTCGCAATAACGATTCAGTCTCGCTCTATGTGAGCGGCTTCAGAGACAGCACTCGGTATGGATCAATTAAGAGAGGTAACATTTCTTCCTAACGCTGCTCGGACAATCCAATGGCTAACAGACAATGTCCGTAAATACGAACTTGTATAAAATATCCTCACAGTCCTAGTGATCTGGCTTCAATCTTTGAGCCTCACGGGCGTATCTTGGATGGTAATTAATGCTACTTGAGTCCGTTTTCCTACTTACTTGCAGCTATACTCTGTCAGAAGCCAGCCCACTGATGTGCTCTTACTCTTTATCTTTTATTCAATTTCCTATCCTACTGGGCATGGGATGCTAATGATCTTCAGTTTATATTCCCAAAGGTGAGTAAGATGAAGTAGAAAAGAGCGAAAACAGGATGTTTAATCTTTGAATCCTATCCCTCCTCAGGTTAAAAACCTAAAACTTTTTTTACCTTTGTCAATTCGATTAGACTATTACACCCGTGCACCTCGAGGTTTTGCTTATATCCAGTAAGGAATATGTTTTAATGCATAATAACGGAATGATGCAACCAAATGAAAAAAGAGGATCAATTGTTTCCACAAAAAAAGTGATGCTTCGTTTAATTGGGTCATATGCAGGAGAAATTAACACAAGATACAATGAAAGAATGTCTACCTGCATGTTTTTAATGAACATTGATTGATATTGCACAGCATTGTTTAATGATTATGTATTTCGCCTTCTGGTGCGCACCCTTTCTCTTTCTACACCTTTTTGTCCTAAATCAAAAGACACTTTTTTACTTCAAGTCAAGTCAAGAAGGAGCACCTGGGTTGAAACGACAAGACATATTATTCAAGGGGAGCTACGCTACCTGTGAAGATAAAAGGACTGGCGGAAAGGCTATACAAGATTAACAAAAAGATCTGCCCTCAAGAGAATGCATACTTTTTTTTTTGTTCATCTTATATCCCTTTACTATCCTCGACAGGCCTCATTTTCGCCACTTACTACCTATTGGACCAGCTCCTAACCGACTACCAAATAATCTACGTTTTCGCTCCTTACATACTCAAAAAAAAAAAAAAAAAAAAAAAAAAAAAAACATTCTAATTTGCATTGAAACATATTTCGTACTGACAGGTATGAGGACGAGGAAGTTGCCCGTCGTGTTTATGAGTCGAACGAAGAGTTCATTCTGGATGGCCGTAAACTTGATATTCAATACGCTCAGGGACGCCGCAAGAGTAAGTTACATATAAATATCAATATCAATGTATCATTTAAATGGAAATGTCTTTGTTTTGGTGTTATCGAACTATAGTCTTGATGGTTTTTAATTGTTAATATTTCTAGGTCCTCACCAAATGATGAGACGGTAAGTGCATTTTTTATTACTATGTGAATAAACGGATAGTGCATTGTTTGACATTCAATTTTTTTTTTTTAAAAAAAATAAAATAAAATAAAATAAAATAAACATCCATCCTGATATGAGCAACGTTGTATATTTGAATCACTTTTAGGGATGGAAGCCGTCGTCGCTCCCGTTCTCGTGATCGTTTCTACCGTCCTAGGTACATTTTGATGCTTTGTCACCCAATATTTATTGAGCATCACAAGTCAGCCTCCATTCTATACAGCTTCCTAACACAATCTATATAATTGCGGTTAATGGATTTGAATTCATTAGCTCTCGTTGTTACTCACGCTCGCGATCTCGATCCAGAGACCGTCGCCGCTACTCGCGAGACTCACGTTCAAGATCGTCCCGTTATCGCTCTCCTTCCCCACGTCGTCGTTCGCCTTCACCTAGGCATAGCTCACCTCACTCGCCTAGACGTCGCTCGTCTTATTCGCCTAGACGTCGCTCGCCTTATTCGCCCAAAAGTAACTCGCCTTCCTCACCTAGAAGTCGCCCGTCGTCACCTCGTGATCGTACTCCTCCCCCTGATGACAGAAAAGGAGTGGTTACTGAGGACCGCTCGCCACTGAAGATGACTGATTATGTGGACTATTCTCCCCATCGAGGAGGTGGCAACAGACCATACACACCAAGTCCTGAGAGGGCAGGCTATTAAACTATTTCTTTTGCATTTTTTTTTCTTTTCAGCTCAGTAAAATATGGTATGGCATGATATGCCAAATCTAATAAAACAAGATGCTTGGTATACAAATTTATTTGCATTAATTGCATCCTAAATAATAAATGCATACTGTAATGACTACACATTGTTGGCAATGAACAATCGAATAGTGGAAATGATTTGATTGAATATAAGAGAAAAGTGTAAGGTAAACTCTCAGAATGCGCGACCGCCCTCATCATGGTCTTATTAACATAAGGCCAGACAAGATCATCAATAAGCTACCAGGAACTGTCCCAGAGGAACAAGACCTGTTGCTTCGCTTCCCTTTACGGGCAGCGCGCTGCAACTCATCGTCGAGAGTAAACTGTGTGTCTGAGTTGGAAAACAAAGACTAGAGATGTACTAGACAGAGATCCTGTAAGTACAGTCGATACAGAAACAACAGCTTCCCGATTGAAAGGTGCTTTTATAGTCCTTGTCCTGAGTGACTGGCGAAAACAATTGGAAAGCTCAGAAAAACTGGGATTGAAAACTTGTCTTAATTGTGGGATCTAAAAATGATCTACAATTGGGAGTTTTTTTTCTTAATTGTGACGGCTACTTTAAAAAAAAAAAACCAAAACAGACTTTAAGCAGCCACCTTTTTTTTTTTTTTTTTTTTTGTAACGAACCTGACTAAGCACTGTTTATGCTCCTGGCTCCTTCTCCGACGCTTTGCTCAAACTCCATCCTCGTTCTCATTCCTTTCATTCATTCTCATTAACAAATACATTTCATGGGACGAGCAAATAATAAAGCTGGCGGAAAACCAGCTAAGGGACATAGGCAGGCAAGAGCAGCCGCCAATGCTCACGCAAACAATAGTACGTCTTATTGTTTTTTTTTTTTTTTTTTTTTTTTTTTTTGAGATTCTTGTGCTCTTAAGAGAATTAGGGAGATAATATTCAAAAGAAAAAAAATGTATTATTAATTAAAATATATTTGGTACGGAATAGAACTCAAGAAGGATCCCGGTGTACCTAATCTCAACCCACTTAGGGAACAAATGCTGCTCAAAAAGAAGCGTGCAGCTGAAGCAAAGCAACTTCAAAAGGAGGCCCGTGAACAGGCTATGAACAAGAACCGCAGGATCACATCTTCATCTTCAACCCTTTCTATTCATGATATTGCTCGTCAAGCAGATGCTCGTGGCAAAGAATTCGACGAGAATGTAGTGGTGGCCAAAGCTAATGATGGTGTTCGTGAAATGGTTGATTCAGCAGCAGTGGGTGGCAAGGATAACTCGAGAAAAGCTTATTATCGAGAGTTCAGGAAGGTTATGGAGAATGCGGATGTGATTTTGGAAGTATTAGATGCTCGTGATCCTCTTGGATGTAGAACAAGGCAGATTGAGAGATTGATTATGGATTCTGGAAAGGATAAACGTATTATTTTGGTTCTGAACAAAATTGGTGAGTTATTGTTACAACAATATTAGGCTGGTAAAAGGAAATATAATGCGATAACTTATCAAACATATTTTACACTTTAGATCTTGCACCAAGAGAGAATGTCGAGAGTTGGCTTAAATACCTTCGCAACGAATATCCCACTATCGCATTTAAAGCCTCGACACAAAACCAACGCTCAAATTTGGGACAAAGTAGCATTGGCACAGAATTAGCTTCAGAAGACATGTTGTCGAGCAGTGAATGTTTAGGAGCCGATCAACTGGTCAAGCTCCTCAAGAACTATTGCCGAAATGCCAATATCAAGACTGCCATTACTGTTGGAGTCATTGGTTATCCTAACGTGGGCAAATCTTCTGTCATTAATTCCCTCAAGCGTTCAAAGGTCTGTGGTGTCGGCTCGACACCAGGCTTCACCAAGGTGGCGCAAGAGATCACTCTAGACAAGAACATCAAACTATTGGACTGCCCTGGCATCGTGTTCAGTAAAGGAGACAATGGAGAGACGCCTGCAGAATTGTTACTTCGAAACTGTGTCAAGGTCGAGCTATTGGAAGATCCTATCTCACCTGTGGAGTTAATTGTAGGAAGATGTCAAAAGCAACAGCTGATGGAGATGTACGATGTTCCTTTATTCGAGGATGTGAACGATTTTTTAGTTCATTTAGCAAGACAGCGCGGTAAGCTCAAGCGCGGAGGAATTCCGGATATCTTTTCGGCCGCACGATCGATTTTGAATGATTGGAACTCAGGAAAAATTCCGTTTTATACGGTCCCACCGGCAACACGCCACACACCCGTAGCAGCAGCGTCGATGGTAGAGGGATGGAGTAAGGAGTTTGATATTGATACCCAGGAGGATGTTCAGGTTCTAGCTAGCATGAAGTCGACCGTCGATATGAGACATGCTATGGCCATGGTCGCGCAGGAACTGGTGGAAGGAGAGATCGACATGGATGCGATGGAAGATGACGATGACGATATTGACAATGGCAATATGTCTATGGATGATGAAGAACAAAATATGATGGAGAATGGTGATCAAGAAGCATCCGTACTGGATCTGTCATCTAAACCTATCATCAATTTCAAGCCCAAGGTCAAAAAATTAGAGCCAAAGGTTAAGCCTCAGATGGCATTCACACCAGAGGAAGCTGAACTCAACCCTCGCATCAACCAGGACAGGAAGAAGTGGCTTAAACAGCAACAAAAGAAAGCTCGTAAAGCACAGGCCGCAATTGAAGCAGGCGAAGATCTGGATATGGATGATGACGATAATAGTGATGCTGGCGAAGAGTATCAGCAAGAGAATCAGAATGGGAATCGTTTCGACTTTGGCAATTTTAGTACGACGTTTGGTGGCAGTTATGAATGTAAGTAAACCATAGTACAATATTTTAGACGAATCAAATTGTTGATCCTCTCGCTGACTTTTTTTTTTTTTTTTTTTTTTTTGCTGTAATAGTACCTGACGAGGACGAGGACTTGTAAAAAAAAAAAACTCATGTATACTATATTTCCCTCTGGCATGCATGTCTTTACGGCTTCACCCTTTTGCATTATCACTCATCCTCATGCCTTTGCACTACAATAAAGGAAATTTAATTAAACCTTGGCCAACAGGACTGTGATTTTGCAACACGTAACACTTGCTCACAAAACGCGCGTCGCGCTTGCGTGATTTTTTTTTTTTTTTTTTTTTTTTTCCCCTTCATAATAAGCTAAATAAGCTTCCCTCATCCCAACTCTCCATTTCCTCCCTTATTAATTTTGACAAATTTGATTCATTAAAATGAATACATTTGTAGCATCACCTGGCTTTGATGTTAGCCGTCTCAAGGGTACGACCCTCATTCTACCGTCAGTCTCGATCGGGAACGTACCCCAGTTGACGATAGATCTCCTTCTAGCGACCCTCAAGTTGGACCGTGTAGGCTGTATTGAAGACGAGAATGTTGTTCCAGTCTTGGGACCTGCCGATAGCGTGTTAGATCCCATGACCCCATCAACAATAAGGAAGAATAACAATGTGGCTGCACCCGCAGCAACACGGGCAGAAGCAACAGGACCAGCACTCGCACTAGCCGTTGAAGTTTTCCAATCCAAGGATGGCAAATGGACTTTGATCCAACAACGATCCCCAACGGTTCATCATCGATCACATCATTATACAGATAATTTAATTCAGTTTATCAAAGAATCTGGGTTTGGTCAGGTGGTGCTGTTGACCTCTGCAGATGGAGCACGACGGATTGATATCCAGCTACAAGCAGGAACCCCACCAGTGAGATTCATCTCCTCGCCAAAGCTTTCGAAAGAATTAGTTGAGGAGACGATTCAAGGACAATTGGGAATTGTGCCGTTGGAAGATGTACCTGCGACGGAGGATCAAAAACGAGAAGCCATTATTCGTCGACAGGAACACTTTTTGGCAATGCATCATCATCAAGCATCTTCGTCTGCTGCGTTAACAGAGCAAGTCGAGGAGATGCAGTTGGATGAGACACAGCCAGAGCAACAACAACAGCAGCAACAGTTGGAGAAAGTTCCAAGGATACCGAGTGGAGGGATCGCACGCCGATTACATTCGTTATGTCAGGAACAAGACATTGCCATCTTGACACTTATTAAGTTTGCAATGGAAGGCGACAATGCGCCGGATGCAATCTTTTTGGCCAATGTTTTGAACGCGATCTTTAAGCTGCACAGCTCAACAGAGCAAGAAGCCTTGCAAGGAGAAGGTTCTTGGAAAGTACCCAAGAGTTGGGATTCTTTATATGGAAACTCATTCCATCAGGACATGTATCACTGAATGCCAAGAAATCAAGAATAAAATCCATGCCAGAAAAAAGTAATCCTTTAGTATAAAAGTGTTTAATTCTATTATTGTACAGGTTTGTTTAAATGTTTGTTGTTGGTTGTTCCATCAAGGTGTTCCAGGCAAAAAATTCGTATGGTTTCGGGTTTAGTCTCTAGCGGATCCATCCCTAAAGTTCAATAAATAAAGAGTGATTAGACATACAGAGACATCATAAAAAGGAATAGAGAAAGTCTGTTATGGATTTTACCTTGGTCGATATTTGATGCCCTTTGATTCCAAATCATCCTCAATATCTTCTGGTAAGCGCCCCATGACCTGCACTGCGTAGATTCCCTTTTCGAATTTATCTACATTATGTGAATGCCAATGTAATATGTCGGTTAATTATAAAAAACCTCTTGAAATCTGGCTCCTGATCCATTATTCCATGAACATAGAGAAATTATCTTGTTTATCGTACCAATACGCTGCCATTTGGCAACCCAACTCTCCGAAGGCTGCATGACAGCGATAGCCCTGGGATATAATAAATTACGCAAAGACGAGATTGATGTGAGATACTATATTCCACCAACTCCTATTGAATAACACATGTATCTAAGTATAAAGATATAATCTTTGCCTCTTTGCCTATTACCCATCATAATGTTGACTGGTACAGTCCATAACTCTATCCATATGTCCTCTCATCTCCAAGAGCGATTCGCAATTATCACATCCATGTTTAAAGAACTGTTCTTGTTTCTATTTGAAATATGGTGAGAGCCCTTGTTAAATCCTGCGCTTCTTGTGTGGCCTTATGTCATAAGCTGATCTCAAGGAAAGGGAGAATCATTTACCTTGATGAGCGAGCATAGAAGACAGGCTCTAAGCTGCTTTTTGTCTGTAGGAATGATGCTGGACATGCTGAATTAGGTTCCGTGAGCGCAATAAGATAGTAAATATATTAAGGTCAGATAATGGGTATGTGAAAAAAGGAAAAGAGGTGATGGCAGAATTTCAGTTTGCAACATTCCTGCCTATGCTCGTCACCAGCCAGCGGACGAAGCACACGTGCGTGAGCACGTGGTGCAAGACAGCCTGGCCAAAGGTGGCTTGGCTATGAAGCGACAGGGAAAAAAGATTACTTTTTTTTCCATTCTCATCAATCCCTCCCTTCCATTGCTCCATATTTATTAAGTATTCGCTCGAACAACCTCATTCAGTCTCATACATTAATACATAAACAATTATTCCCCAAAGCTTTCCTCATCCAACAGACAACCCCTAATCGTCACAGTAAAATAAACGCCACCAAAACCCCATATCAGCATGTCAGCCGCCTCAAGCCCATTTCCAAGTATAGTTGTTACAGGAGGCACCATTGGCTCAATAATCGTCGGGTGCAAACTACAAGTCCTTCATGGTCAACCTCCAGAGTATCGTAAAGCTGAGATCCTTTCTATGCGACCAGCACCCAGTGTAGACGATCCCAACCGCTGCGAATACTATGTTCATTATTCTGACTACAACAAACGTCTGGATGAATGGGTTGCACCAGAAAGACTCAATTTGCATGGCGAAATTGAATATCCTAAAGTTAAGAAGGCAAAAGCTGTACTTGCAGGCATTGGCAAAGAAACTGGTAAGGGCTCAGAACCAGGCACACCTGGAGGACGAGTCTCAAAGAATAATCGAAAGAGCCAGCTGAGCAAAGCAGCCACGACAGGAAAGGGAGCAGACTCTGCAGCAGCCCCAGGGACCTCTGGATCAAACAAACGTAAGGCATCCGCTATGGAAGAAGGAAGCAGTAGCCAGGAAAAGACAGCTATTGGAGTCACTCCGAGTATTCAGGTCAACGGTGAAGACGAAGATGAAGATGAAGACATGAATGGAGAGAATGATTCCGTCATAGGAGGTCAAGAAGAGAATGGAGAGGTGTTTTCAAAGGAACAGGAGATCGAAAAACTCCGGACATCAGGCTCTATGACTCAAAATCCTCATGAGGTCGCTCGTGTCAAGAATTTGAACTTAATACAAATTGGGAAGCATGAAGTCGAGACTTGGTACTTTTCTCCTTATCCGGTTGAATATGCGCACTTACCTATCCTATACATCTGTGAGTTCTGCTTATCTTATTTTCCAGCAGTGAAACAGCTCTCTCGGCATCGTCTCAAATGTACATTGCAGCATCCACCGGGCAACGAGATATATCGCAAGGATGACATTTCATTTTTTGAAATTGATGGGCGGAAGCAAAAAGTATATTGTCGGAACCTTTGCTTATTGTCAAAGCTCTTTCTGGACCACAAAACACTTTATTATGATGTGGATCCTTTCTTATTCTATGTAATGACGATGCGGGATGAGGATGGAGCACATTTCATTGGTTACTTTTCCAAGGAGAAGGAATCTACAGAGCAATACAATGTCGCATGTATTTTGACGATGCCGCAATATCAGAGGATGGGATTCGGCCGATTATTGATTCAGTTTTCGTACGAGCTATCAAAGGTTGAGAAAAGGTTGGGATCACCCGAAAAGCCATTGTCAGATTTGGGGCTATTGTCATACCGAGCGTTCTGGTCCGAGATCATTGTCCAGATGCTGATAGAGCAGCAGAAAACAGGAATTGAGCTGTCGATTGATGATATTGCCAATAGGACAGCGTTTCAGCCGCAGGATGTGTTGCACACATTACAGAATCTCAATGCGCTCAAGTACTATCATGGACAATACGTTATCGTATTGAGTGACACTGTAATTAAGAACGCAGAGAGGGCATTCAAGAAGAAGAAGCGTGAGATTGATCCTAAGGCACTAATCTGGAAGCCAATCCACTTTACAGCCACGCAGTTGCGATTTTTGTAACAATTTACAGGTTCAGTTTTTAGTTGAAATAAAAGTAAAACAAGCAGTCACGCAAAAAAAAAAAAAAAGGGGGGGCTTCCGTTTTTTTTTGTATCAATTGTAAACTCATTCCATTTCATTTTCATTGCAATGCAGGCTTTGGACTACACAAACGCCCGCATTCTTGCACCAATGGTAATACTCCAAATACTGCAATTACATTAACAGTCAAGTGGGAACAGTCTTGCAACAATGGACATGGAACACTCCATTTGACTCAATTCATGTATCATTCCCAAACTTGGAATATCACTGCTATAGGTCAGGATTGGCACTTTGCCTACACGACTCATGGCACTGGAATACGGAGCAGATTTGGTTTATACACCTGAGGTGGTCGACAAAGCCATCGCTGGGGCTGTACGAGTCGTTAATGGTAAAGGATTGGGATATAAAAGTTATGTGTTTAGTCCTTTCATTCTATTTAATTTCTTACTTTTCACTCGCCTTGCTTACAAGTAATGATTCTTTTATTCACTCTTCTCTTCATCTCAACTGAAAATTCAGAGGACAATGGCACCATCGACTATTTACAGAAAGGCGTTTCAGTTTTTAGGACACATCCTAGTGAGAAATCGAAACTTGTCTTTCAAATCGGCTCTGCCAACGCTGATCTGGCTCTAGAGGCGGCTCTTACAGTGTAAGGAAGGCAAAAAAAAAAAAAAAAAAAAAAAAAAACACCTCTTTTTTTTCTTTTGATAGTATTGTAGAAGACATAAACTGATTATAGCTGGATTATATTTTTTTAGAGCGCAGGATGTTTCAACAGTTGATCTGAACTGTGGCTGCCCGAAGCGCTTCTCGGTTCATGGAGGAATGGGCGCAGCACTCATGGAAGAACCAGAGAAACTCTGTGGTGTAGGTTAAGGAGAAAAACCGTATACTGTTGTTCAAGGTTTACTCTGAGAGTGTTTGTTTCTAACATATACAACTATATTCTGTATTTATAAAACATCTAACCTTGCTCCCCTATTGAATAGATTCTTCGAAAACTAGTTGAGCACTCTGGGCTACCTGTGACTTGTAAAATCCGGATCTTCCCAGATCGGGAACGGACAATTAAGCTTGTAAAGATGATCGAGGCAACAGGAATTAAAGCGTTGGCAGTGCATTGTCGGTACAGAGATCAAAGGCCTCGTGAGAGGGCACACTGGGATCGGCTCAAAGAAATCGTGGAGGCAGTCTCAATCCCAGTAATCGCCAATGGAGATGCCTGGGAATATGAGCACCTGGGTAAGCTACAGGACCTCTCCGGTGCTACTGCAGTGATGTATGCAAGGCGTGCAGAAGCCAATGTCTCAGTCTTTCGGAAAGAAGGGCTTTTGCCATTAAACGAGATTGTCACAGCCTATATCCGCAAGGTAATGTTAAAAAAAGTAGGAAAAAAAAAAAAAAAGATTCAATTCTTACTAAGGCATATTTTCATTTTGTATTTTTATTTCTTTCTAATGATTAATAGTGTCTCGAGACCAGGAACCATCACTCAAACACAAAATACGTTCTTATGCAGATGTTTGTAGACGATACGAAGGATCCTCGGTACCGCCAACTCTGTGAAGCAAAATGTTTCAGAGCAGTATGTAAAGTGTTCGGTATGGAGGGTGAACTCGATGCATGGCTTCAGTCCCAACAAGCAAAAGGCTATCCTACTGATCTAGACTCAGTCCCCAGGAAAGCGGGAGAGATGGCGAACAAGGATGAAGCTACCAATGCAGCCAATACTGCGCAAAAACATAAACAACAGGACCTAAGGAAGAGAAAGTTGGAACAACAGGAGGTTGAAGGCGAAGAGAAGAATGAAATTTCAGCTCCTGCAACTAAGAAACAGATGACAGAGATTTCTTCCCAGCAAACTATTAATGGAGATCATCGCTCCTCTTCACGTATAGCTCCCACAGAGACATCTCGTATAGAAGAAATAATAGCGGAGGAAAAGGAGGTCGATAATAACTTGCCGAGCGCTGGCGCGGAGCAGGGCCAGACGAAGGAAGTAACCTCACTTTTATACTCGTGAAAGAATACGCCTTTTCATTTTCTTGAATAAACAGGCGAAATGTATTTTTTTTTTTTTTTTTTTTTTGTTGTTGTTGTTGGACTGTTATTTTCTTTTCTTTTTTTTTTAAATTAGAGTGATCTTTTTCTTATTTATTCATTCATCGTGTTCATTATTCCCTAAAATAAATCCGCATGGCTACATCACATCCTAACCAAGTTGCATTCAGAGAGGGAGTTCAATATTTGTTCTACTCTTGGACAGCACTCAAATTAGCAGTTGACGGCGAATGGGGAGGTCATGATTCCGAGGATAAACGGGATTGGTTCATCGATACTATTGTTGACTACTTCGGCCAGCGTAGGTTTTTCTACTATTGCTCTTGACTCATTTATTGAAGACTGGGAAATACCTCATTCTATCCTGTTGGCTCTTCTTGATGGTGTCTAAATATTAACATTTACTACTTCTAAATGCCATTTTATGTATTAGACGGCAAAAATGTGGACACATTCGATTTGGAGGATATTTTGGTACAGATCATGAACGATGAGTTTTCGATTCTACTAGAAGATCAATCAGAACGACATATTGCAAAAGTTCTAGAACAATTGTTTCAAGAATGCACACATGGTAAATATGATCTTGTGCAGACATTGAAGCAAGACTCGCAAAAAGTCAGCGGGGCTTTGAAGGATAGCAAGAGTCAAAAACAGAATCAGGGTGATGACGATGATAGCAGCGATGATGATGATGGTGATGATAATGAAAGCAACGGTGGCAACAATATGGATGTTGAGATGGAAGGTGAATCATCTTCCTCTACCAATACTTCAGGTATTCAGAGCAGAAGAGAGAAGCCAGAGCCGATCATTGATGAAGATGGCTTTGAGACAGTTGTCAAGGGCAGGAGGAGGTAGAGGGAGATTGCAAGTAAAAATCCACTTCATCTGAATAATTTAAATAAAAACTCTGGCATTTTTTTTTGTCTGAGTCGTAAATATGTCATTTGTCATCTAAGACGCAATTCAGTGTTAAAAGTCGACTCTGAATATCTGTAAATATCTGTAACTTCGCATTAGAAATAATTTGAGCAATCAATGACTGAGGTGATTTTCCTCTCTTGCCTTCCCTCCTCATTCTCATAATACTTTACTCCGATCTTCATTCTAGTTTCTTTCCTTCCCATTCCTTATTCTGAATCCTCTACTTCATTCATTGTTTACCCTAAATCTCATTTATATCTTATTTTCACCTTCATTTTAGCAACGTAAGGCATGCTCCTATTCATATAAGCATTTATATACACTCATACACACATTATACAGTACACAGCAATTCTTTTCATATTAGCACCACAATCAACTTTGTTGTTTGTTTCCTTGCTTTTTCGCAAATGCTTAATGTCAACGTTTCATTAGATTTTTCAACATTTCAATCCACAAATTTTGCTTCAACCTTCGCATTAGAGCATTAGTAATTATATAACATCACTCTATGATTTTGCTCATTTCGTCTCTTAAATGCGTTTTTGTCTTTTTTTTTTTTTTTTTTTTTTTTTTGCGCAAGCAGTTCAGTCTGCTTTGTTCGCCCTTTTTCTTTCTTCACCCTCTGTCGACTGTCACCTGTCACAGTACTTTTTCTCATGTTCCGCCTTTTATTATGATAGAACAATAGCAAAAGCATACACTTGAGCGACAGCTCTGTCTTCATTCGTATCTCACAGCTCTTTCTCACTCTTCTCCTTCTTTCCTTCTCTTCCCTTTCTTATAATTGTTTTTTTGTGTGTATCTCAAGGTGTAATTCTAACCGCCAGCTGTCTATTTTAGCCTTCCTATCTCTTATTCACTCCTGCCCAAACAAATAATTCCTGCATTATGTCCAGTAGTCAAGTTCAGTAAGTTGTCTAAAATTACCAATCTTGTCACTGTCCAATCCTGTTATTTTGCTGCATACCGACTTATCCTCTCTTTCTCCTCTCTTTTCTTCTCCATAGAAAACCTATTCGCGTTACTGGTAAGATACACGCAAGGCGGGACTTACTTCACAATCTCAATTATCCTTTCCCAGCTTCTCCGACTTCAATGCACACAAAAGGAGCAATACCGACAAAGAGAAATCGTGAGCAAAGAGCAAAGCTAGGCTAGACGGTCCTAGAGAGAAAGCCTTCGGTCATTATAGCTCCCGTGACTTCTTTCGTTTTCTTTTTTTACGCGTATCCATTCTCTTCCGCTGTTTTTCCCGACACAGGGCGATGTAAACTTAACATTGAATTGAACGTTAGGCGCACAGAGCATTCCTGCAGCCCTTCTTTCTACTAGAATTGATTGGCAGCAATCTTTTTTTTTTACTACTTGTCCCTTCTCTTGTCTATTGAGGAACAATGTACCAACCGACTTCTACTTCAGAGCTGCTATATGCTCTTAACATCGTGTTCAATGTGATCTGACACCTTTTTCCATCTCTTTTCTCTTCTTGCTACCTTTCTGCCATTTCCTATTCGACAGTCATAGCGGCAGATGGTCTCTATAAACGGGATGTATTTCGTAAGTATCATGGTTTCTTTTGTACTTTTTTTTTATAAAACATACGGATGAATACATTGTCCCTGTTGTTACAAACGTATATTCTGTATATGATATTTACTTCACGTTAAAATCAATAGGCCTTCCGGATCCATTTGCAGTGGTGACAGTGGATGGCGACCAGACCCATACGACAACTGTGATGAAAAAGACGTTAAACCCATACTGGAATGAGAGCTTTGAAGTGTAAGTCAATTACGACTTTGCCTTGCGCAATATTGTCGATCGTACAAAAAAAGCGCTAACGAAAAAATATTGAATAATGTTTCTATAGTAATGTCACCAACAATAGTATTCTTGCAGTTCAAATCTTTGACCAAAAAAAGTTTAAAAAAAAGGATCAAGGATTCCTCGGCACTGTTAATATTCAAATAAGCGACGTGTTTGACGTGAATATTGGCGGCGATGGTACGTTGGCTTGCTGCTCTGAATTAACGACGGTTATTCATGTTTAAAGAAAGCATCATATTCAACATCCTAACCTGACATGACCTCATTGCTGTCTTCACTTGTAATGATTCAGAAATGCTTACAACGGAGCTAAAAAAGTCAGGGTCAAATGATGTTGTAGTCCAAGGAAAGCTTATTCTCAATATCTCTTCAAATATTGGCAATCAAAGCTTAAATGGCCGTATCTCTCAAAACCCAACTCCATCGCACCAGAGAACACCCTCGACCATCTCAGCTGTATCATCCAGTGCTACATCCTTAATCAACCGCAATAATGTCCAGCAAGCTCCAATCGCACACGTTAATGGAGGTTTAACTGGCAGCACACCAGCCACACCCACTATTGCTACCAATGGGGGACGCCAGCTTTCACCATACGAAGATCAGCACGGTCCTCTTCCTCCGAAGTATGTTCTCAACTGCATCAGGTTTTTTTTTACTTTTTTTACAATAGATGGCTATGGACAAGGCTTTGGATGATTACTTCTCTAATCTTTTTTTTCTTAGCTGGGAACGTCGCGTAGACCAGTTAGGCCGCACGTATTATGTAGACCATAATAACCGCCTGACGACCTGGACCAGACCACCTTTGACAACCTCTACGCCAGAACAAGCCCAGGAGGCGGCTAACCGAACGGAATTGGAGAGGCAAAGACACAATAACCGTACACTTCCTGAGGAACAATCTGGAAGTAACTCACCTCTGCCAAACGTATCTAATCTATCGCTTCCAGAATCCTCTGCAAACACAGCATCAGTTTCTACTTCTCCTGCGACTACCAGTGGTTCAACACTTGCGCCCGTGAGCTTAAACTCAACTACCCCTGGATCAGGACCACTTCCTGCGGGATGGGAGCAGCGTCTGACGCCTGAAGGGCGTCCTTACTTTGTAGACCACAATACTCGATCGACCACCTGGGTTGATCCTCGTCGCCAACAATATGTCCGTATGAGCGACCCTCGTTCCTCCAGCCAGGTTGCAGTGCACCAGCAACCTGTCTCTCACCTTGGTCCTCTGCCTTCGGGATGGGAAATGCGTCTTACCAATACGGCGCGTGTTTACTTTGTAGATCATAACACGAAGACGACAACATGGGATGGTAGGTTTCAAAGAGCTATCTGTTTATGAACATTGAACTGAATTGAATAACTTGATGTACATCTAGATGCTATGAGCTCAAATACGGTACAAATGACTGAATTCTAAGATGTCTTCCACTGATTAATGTTTCCTTGTTCTATAGATCCTCGTCTACCAAGTAGTTTGGACCAGAACGTACCTCAGTATAAGCGTGACTTCCGTCGCAAGCTAATTTACTTTAGATCACAGCCTGCACTCCGCCCAGTCCCCGGTCAATGCCATATGAAGGTCCGCCGCTCGCACATCTTTGAAGATTCTTACCATGAGATCATGCGTCAATCACCAACAGACCTTAAGAAAAGACTTATGATCAAGTTTGAGGGCGAGGATGGCCTTGATTATGGCGGTCTCTCAAGGTATGTGCAGAGATCTGAACGAAACTCTGGGATACTCAAGCCATCAGTCAGCCTTGAGAGTATTTTTTTAACAAGCTTTTTTGTCTTATATTTGTTTATTATAGAGAATTCTTTTTCTTGTTGTCACATGAAATGTTCAATCCGTTTTATTGTCTATTCGAGTACTCTGCCCATGACAACTATACCCTTCAAATTAACCCTCACTCGAGTATCAATCCTGAGCACTTGAATTACTTCAAATTCATTGGCCGTGTTGTTGGACTTGCTATCTTCCATCGCCGCCTTTTGGATGCGTTCTTCATTGTCTCTTTCTACAAGATGATTTTGAAGAAAAAAGTTACGCTTGCAGATCTAGAGTCTGTGGATGCAGACGTATACCGTAACCTGAACTGGCTATTGGATGATCCGGAAGGAGCAGAAACTTTAGATACAACCTTCTCAACGAATGATGAGCGTTTTGGGGAAATTGTGACCATAGACTTGAAGGAGAATGGAAGAAATATTCCAGTGACGGAAGAAAACAAGAAAGAGTACGTGGAATTAATGACAGAGTGGCGTATCAGCCGTCGTGTGGAAGAACAATTCAAGGCTTTTGCTGAGGGTTTCCATCAATTGATTCCTCAAGAACTTGTGACAGTTTTTGACGAACGCGAGCTTGAGTTATTGATGGGAGGCATATCAGAGATTGATTGCGATGATTGGAAGAAACATACGGATTATCGTGGGTACACAGAACAAGATGAAGTAGTGCAATGGTTCTGGAAGTGTGTCCGATCATGGGATTCAGAAAAGAAAGCGCGTTTGTTGCAGTTCACGACAGGAACATCAAGAATCCCCGTCAATGGATTTAAGGATCTACAGGGCTCCGATGGACCTAGGCGATTTACAATCGAGAAAGCAGGTGAGATCGGTCAGCTGCCTAAGTCTCACACATGGTAAGGTTTTCGACTGAGTTCAGGAAAAGGAGTTTTTTTCATGTTTTGTTTTTTTAAGGGCTAACATTGCTTTGCTTTTTTTCTTGTATTTTGCATATTAGCTTTAATCGCATCGATCTCCCACCGTATAAATCATACGATGTTCTTGTGAACAAACTGACTCTAGCGGTGGAGGAGACTGTTGGTTTCGGTCAAGAGTAGAAAGGTCCAAATGATTGCTTTTTGTTTTATCATTAAAAAAAATTGCATTTGTATTTCTGTACTCTTGATCCCTTGAGTTATTCTCTTGACTGATTAAATTGATTTGCTTTGGTGCAAATTGGAAAAGAAATTTGCTTGCGATATCACAGTCATATGTCAGCAATTTGGCTATAATGTCCTCAGTTTTTTTATTCATAGTTGAATCTACCCAGAAGCTCTCCTTTATTCGCTAGAAGAAAAATTTTGTGAACTTTCTGAATCCATTCCTGGCACATGGCTTTAATTTGGAAATATCATCACTGATGTGCTTTGTTAATGGTTCGTGGTTTTGAAGCTCTTGACGTTCTACATGCCCCTTGATGCTACCAAAGACCCATCCGGCCGCATTGAGATGAGGGGTGTAGGGAGGCAATCACAAGCAAACGTGCCTTGTATACTCTGTGAGCTATTGAAAGGGACGTTATCCATAATGATGACTCTCGGGGTTGGAAGGGCAGGGATGAGTTTGTCGGTCAAAAAATCTGGGGAAGTTTGAGTATTGAAGGCACCTAACCGCACTTCCGAAGCGATAATCCCTTCCTGGCCAACAGCAACTATGATGGAAACATTTTGCCCCAGCTGAGCAGTTTTTGGTGCCCTTTTTCCTCGTGGTGCTCGATCAAATCTACGCGTAAGATACAAGTTGAAACCCCTCCCCAATGAACACTGCCTCTGATAGGTCCGCTCCACCCATGGCAGAACCACTCGTCCATTGAACGCGAGCAGCGATCCTTTCCTCACTGTTGTAATCTTCCGGCTGATAACTTAGGAGCTTAAGTGTGTAGTCTGCTTGTTGACGTATAGCTCTAGAAATGGCTGATATAGACACAGGCGGATTGAAATGAAAATGCTCATTTATAGGTTTGATGAACATTATCGATAGTAAGGCTAGGGTCTTCATTGAGTTTATCTTTTAGCCATGCAATATGCTCTTCTTGAAGAACTACATGGTGATTACTACCTCTTCTCTTTTTTTTCTATTCTTCCCTTCTCTTCGAAAGCCTGCAATGTTATGTACAGTAGAGTAAGAGAAGCCAAAACGACGGGCAGTCTTTGCGGGAGCCAATCCTTCATCGAAAATAGATCTGATAATTTTTTGACGAAGACTAGAACCAATGCACTGATAGCTCTTTGAACGTGACATGGTGTAGTGTAGCAAAAAAGAAAAGAAAATGTCTGAAGGCGAGACAAGAGTAAATTGTGCAATTGATGATGGATGATATTGCCTTATTAATGTGGAATTATACTTCTGTCTTCTGGGATTGAAAGAGCAACAGCGACTTGAAATATGAATGGCATTTATATACTGTATACTATATCAAGCATTTCTTACATGTCACTTACTGCTTTCTACATTACTCAACTAAATCTTAGACTCTCCTCACATTCTCACATTCCTTTATAGTCGGCAATGTCATACACTCTTGCGGTGGAAACAACTCTGTGCTATCCCTTAATCGATCACGCGGGCGAAAATGCCCGCTAACCTTATCTCAGGCCATGTTTTTTTTTTTTTTTTTTTGACAGGTTGAAAAACACAATCTGATCACTTTTCACTCTCCATTAACAGAATCCTGTCATTTTTGTAAATGAGCGCTTCATCATCAACGACAACATTGGAGGCCCGTGCAAATGAGGGAGAAGTGGAGCTTGATGATGAAGGAGAAGAGTTTGATCCCGTTCTCTCTTTCCGTCAGCACCTAGAAGACGACCTGAACGAAAGTGACAATAGTGACGAAGAATCTGCTTTGCAAGTAGGACATAAACGCAAAAGAGTTCACCAAGTGAAATTACCAGCTCCTCCAGAGTTTAAGCCGCTGACTAAACCAGAGCATGAAGCATCCATACATCTACCCGAACCTTTTGGTCATGTAGATACTTCTCCAATCAATCTTTTTCGGCTGTTCTTCTCTGACACAATGGTGAACTCAATAATACTAAATACCAATCTTTACGCCAAAAACAATGGCGCTGACTTCGATCATCCATGGAAGGATATTGATCGGGATGAACTAGTGATATGGATTGCATTTACTATTTACCATGGCCTTCACAGGACCATCCCTATCGAAAAATGCTGGAATCAAGACGCAGAAGAACCCATTCATGAGATTTCAAGATACATGTCAGTTATGCGCTACAAACAGATAAAGAGATGTCTTCATGTTTCTAATACAGACGACAGTTCCGACATGTATTTCAGTAACGTAGAACCACTTCTTTCTCACATTCGAGATACATCAAAACAGCTTTACACCCCTTCATCAAATATATCAATCGATGAGATGACTGTCCGATTTTCAGGCGGTGTCCACACTGTTGACATAAAGAATAAGTCCACACCAGAAAGTTTCAAGATTTTGTCGCTTTCTGATGCAGGATACACGTATACTTTTTTACCGATCTCTCGCATCATTCCTTCCCATGTCACAAAGGTACCCGGCCTCACTCAAACAGGATGCTTAGTTAATCACCTGGCTCAACAACTGCCATACGCCAGGCTATCATTCAATATTTACATGGATAACTATTTTTCGAGCATCAAACTTTTCCAGCATTTCAGGGACATTGGAATTGGAGCATGTGGTGCCGTAAAGGATCAAGAAAGGATTCCCAAGGAACTTCATGTCGATAAAAGAACGAAAGTGGACTGGGACACTCGTTCTGGGGTGGTAAGAGGGGGGGTACTGGCAGTTTTCTGGCAGGACAATGGTCCAGTGAGGATGTTGACGACAATTCATGGAATAGTTGGCGATGAATGGGAGATACCGATAATCAGACGCCGACCACGAGAAACAAGCATTAATTCCACAAAAGTGCAAGCAATATTTGGTGATTCCCTCAGTAGAGAGTTAAAGATCCCAAAGTTGGTGGATGATTACAATTACTTCATGGGTGAGGTGGACATCGCTCACCAATTGAGATCAAGCTATGACACTCAACAGCCAACACGAAGGAACTGGATGCCTCTATTCTACTGGCTTTTGGATACAGCAATCACCAATTCATATCTCATTAGCCGGAAGGCAGGATCCCCTCTTAACCAATATGGATTCCGTCATAACCTTGTTTGGGAGCTTATTGCTGCTGTTCACCACAAAGATAGGAACCAACATAAGGCTCCTGAGGATCAACCACGACCAAGAATTACAAAGAACTACAAACTTTCAACCAAGCGCTTTGCTCGTGGAGATCACTTTGCAGAATGGAGGGAGAGGCGCTCAACCTGCTTCTGGTGCTCCTGGCTGACAGCCCAGCAGATAATAGAAATGAATCACAAATCCCCAAATCAGAGTCAAGTGTGGTGCAAAGAATGCAATGTCCCTCTTTGTGTCAATAAGTCTCGCAATTGCTTTTCTTCATATCACTCTCCCAATAGTCAATAAAATGGGCCGTACAAAAAAAAAAAAAAAAAAAAAAAAAAAATTGTAAATAGACGAATTTTGAGTTCTAATCAGACTGATAAATCCAGTCTGATAAAGCCAGACTCGATTACATATAATTTAGAGATGAACAGCAAAGGGGAAACGCCAACTTTGCAGCTGTTTACCCACGCGAAGGAGTCATGTCTCTGAATACGGTTACTGTGGACTTGGCACGTGTAGCGTGGTCTATAGATCAGCAAGTCTAGTAAACGATTATCAGCATCATTTTGTTTTAAAAACTTTTTTCCATCTAATCGCTTATTGATTCTGGTATTTGTTGCAGAGCCTAGCGATGGGATGTTGCTGCTATAATCGTTTTTCAACACAACACATAGTATGAGTTGAGCTTTGTTAAGGCCTAGAGCCAGTAAGTACGCCTTGAATGTCATAGACAAGAGATCTCTTCCTTTAGATAGACTTCTAGATAGCTTCTATGCTTTTATATACGGGCATAACGCTGTCTCTTAATACGGCAATGTCACCAGTCTTATCCTAGAGTGCTATCTCCAGGCTAACCTGACTTGAGCAGGATACTATGGTCTAAATTGCTGCTTTCCATGTATCCGGCAAAGACCTTTCGCTCCTCCAAGCTCCAGCAAAAGGATTTCCTCGGATTCTTGTCGATGGTCATGCAATTCTGCTTTTGCGCTTAGAAACTGGCTTCAACACGCGTTTCTTCAGGTCGTTGATGCATTTCTCGGCGACATTCAAGGCTTTTACACGAACTTTCTCATAAAGAACTAGAGTCTGACTAAAGCACTTGAATCAGATTTTTTTTTTTTTTTAAAGCAATTTCTTTGACTCTGGAGAGAACTTGACTTCAAGGTGTTTAAGCTCATGGTTGATTGCAGTAAAAGCTAGGGGTGCTGCCCCATCCGGTATTTACTTGCATTGCTTAACACGCTTCTTTGTTGTGTAGAAAAATGGCTGCAAAGCGGATGCGGCTATTGCTCAAAGCAAGGATACTTGATTAATTTATCGGGCGGTTACAAGGAACAATCCTCCTGTAATAATTCGTTTATCTGATACTTAAGGGCAACTGGATGGCAGTGATGAAGAAGCGAAGATGGGTGCGCTACCTCAACGAAGTAAGGTGGTTGATACAAAAAAAAAAAAAAAAAAAATTCTTAAAACCACTTCTTGCCATATGCGTGTAGAATTATCGACGTATGGACATCGACAAGCTTTTAGGGCTATAGCCCAGGACTTTAAAGAAGTTTGTTCTGAAAGGCAAAAAAAACTCTGTCATTTGGTACCCGACTTATTGTGCGTGGTCTTACCTCAAGATGCATGGAAGCAGAAGTTATCACAGGCGCTTTAAAAGGAAAAAGAGTGTTTATTCCGCGCATCCCCCTGACAACTGCTGATGATGACCAAACATCACCTGTGAAGTTTACACGGTATCAATTCCCCATCAAGCCAGCATTCGCTATGACAATTAACAAGTCGCAGGGGCAAACTCTTGAGAAGGTGGGTATTTATCTCCCTGCTCCCGTGTTTACTCATGGTCAACTGTATGTTGCACTATCACGCTGCTTCAATCCAAGAGATCTGAGGGTTTTAATAGACAATGGCATATTTCCTGGGTTTGAAGGTGTTTATACAAGGAACATTGTATGTATACAAGAGCGTTCTCCAATAAGTATAAAAATAAAAATAATAAATTATTTTGTTCAAAAATTCACACCTGTGCATCGCACGGGCTACTGCTAGTTTATTTACTATAATTCCTTCATGCGCATGGCCTGGATTTGTCACGTGCACGTGGCGTAATTTCAGCGAGTTTTGAGCTACAATATCTCGGGTCGAAGGTTAAGAAACAAATACCTGCATTTCCCGCATCAAGATCCTGTCAAAAACTCTCCATTCACATTTCAATCAATACAACCGTCCATCAATCATGAACGCCGCTGTCTTTGCTCGTACCGGAATTCGTGCTCGCGCCACTGTTGGAGCCACCCCCCTGCGTAGCGGCGCTTACCACTGGACCAATGATAACGGCAAGGTACTAATCTTTATCATCTATTGATCCAAAAAATAAGATGATTTACACGACAATCGTGGATCAGACGGGGGGAACCTTTCTCTTGGAATGATCAAAAAAAAAAAAAAAAGACCTCTATATCATTTATCAAGGAGATAATTGGAACAGTATGATGATCTTATTCAACGATATCGATATTACTCCAGAGCAGAGTCAGAATAAATGAGTTATCCAGGCGGTACCAGCAATTAAGAACTATCCTCATATATATATCCGTTAATGAAGGCCTTTTATTCGTGTTGTCCTCTCCACAACAACGCGACACCAAAAGCAATACTAGGATATAAGAGGATATCGTACACGGCCATGTGAGGTCTCACTGGACCCTGCATTCAATTTGCTCGCTCTATATGGGAACATCGATTAAAGGCATCAGCCAATATTAGAAGCAAGACATTTGACACAAATGGGAGGATTAATGGATGTGGGGCAATGAGGCGTAGGAATAGGAGGAGTATTTGTTTATTTACGTGTTGGGCCGACATTGGCTTGAAGAGGAAATATTTATGCAGGCTTGCCATAAAAAAAAAAAAAAAAAAAAAAAAAAAAAAAAAGAATTGGTCCTTTATTGGTTTATTGATACGATGATACATTTGACATTAACAAAGTCTCGCTTCACTTCTTTTTGTTTGACTTGTATTCTATAACTTGGCGTTCCCTTTTTTTCTATTTATTTTTATACTCTTACTATTGTTATTTACAATATATTAGAACATCCCCTTCTCAACCAAGAACAAGCCCGCTCTTGCTGTCAAAGTTGTTGCCTACCTCGGCACTGGTTTCGCCCTTCCCTTCGTTTCCGCCTACTGGCAACACTACAAGGCCGGTCGTGTTTAAAAATTAGAAAAAGAAAAAAAAAAAATTAGAAAAAACAATTCTCCTCTCAAAATTTATCCACACCCTCCTCTTCTTTTCCCTACAATTTGATAACGTACACATCTCAAGAAACAATTTCAGTAGAACGTTTGTTTGAATAAAAAAAAAAAAAAAAAAAAAAAAAAAAGGCGAATCGGCGCTCATTGTATATAAATATCTAGGCATAAAAGTGCGGACGAATCCGGATTTCCGAGGATTGAGATTTGGTGTCAATTTGTGTAACGCTCCCTCCCTCAAACAGAGGTGAACGATGCATTTTTTTTTTTTTTTTTTTTTTTTAATAAATGATATATTGTACACCTAAAAACTAGTAAAAATGCAATGATATTTTTGTACACTGTCGTACGATGTAGGGCTTTTCTTTTTTTTCTTTTTTGATTACAGGTACCATGTCATAAATAGTAAATGGCAGTAAATTACATGTGCTATTAAGGCTAAGGCTGGGATGCATTCCGTTCCTGTTTCGACCCCAAGCCTTGATGGATAGCAGTGGTGGCGCTCGAAGAAGACGAGGCTGCGTTTATTGTCGTCGCTCCCACCAAGGTAGTAGACATGGACATCACATCCAAATTTTTCACATTGACCGCCTCATCTTCATTTGCTCCGCTAACTCTTATTTCATTTGTTTGTAACATCAACTTCGCTTCAGCTTCTGCCTCCGCTTGGGCCTTTGCTTGTGCTTGCGCCAGAGCATGGGCTTGTTGAGCTTGTTGTAGCTCAATTTGCTCTTGTTGCAGTTGCTGCTGAACGTGCTGTTGTGCCTGTTTGCGGACTTCGTCCTGTTGCATAAACAATCGGCAAGGCTCCTCCACTTTATAATGTCGACACAGTGCATCCGTTCGTGCAAAAGCCTTTTGACAATTCACACAAACATAGGGCTTCGATCCTGTATGTACACGGATATGACGTTGAAGATCGTGCTTTCGAGAGAACACACGTGGGCACAAGTGACAGCCGTATGGCTTCAACGTGTCATGAGACTTGACATGTGCATTCAAGTTAAAGGGACGAGTAAAAGATTTTGAGCATGAAGGAATTGGGCAAGGCATAGGCTTGCCTGTCGGATTGGACGTTACAATTGGCACTGCTGTTGATGATCCATTTGCGGGAGACGAAGTTGAGGATGATGGAGTTGAGGAGGCAGAAGCCTCATCGCCACCAAGTTCACCTCCTGCACCTTCATCGAGGCCGTCAGCATCAAAACTCTCTTCTTCAATCATATCATCGACTTCCTGCATTAATGACATATCAAACATGCCAGGGTTCAGCTGCTGAAACTGTTGATGTGAAAACTGGTTCTGCTGTTGCTGTTGCTGAAGCTGGACAGTTGCATCAAGTTGAAATGAATCAATGTCTTCACTTGGAGATGCGGTGCGATTTTCTCCTGCACTCCCTGCTCCTGACCCTGACCCTGACTGTTCATTAAGTCCTTGAAGTGTCTTCTCCTCTTGTTCCGAGAGTACCAGTGAGAATGAAGAGTTCATGAAGTTGGCGGTCGACTCTGAGGGTGTACCAAGCGCAGAGCTTTGAGAAGTGACAGTGCTCGAACGGGAGCGCGATTTTGGTGCAGGGACCTTAGTCCTCGAAACACGTCTTGCTTTGCCGCCAGTGCTAGCGGCAACTGTTGCTGCTGCTGTAGCGGACGCTGCTGCTGCTGCTGCTGCTGCCACTGCAGCCGCTCCTGGTGTCCCTGGGATGAGGATCAGACCAGTTTCATATGCTGGCGTTGGTGGAGCGCTGGCATTCTGTTCCGAATCTGCAGCTGAGCCTTGCCTGAAGGGTGGGATTGGTGACAAGGGAACCAATGAGGGTGACCTCGAGCTAGCGACTGCAGAACCTGTGGTCGTCGTATTACTGGCGATAGAAGGCGAAGGCGAGTAAGGAGCCGCAGCATTGCGAGCTGAGACAACGGATGATGCAGAGGTAGGACGTGACCTTGATTTGGATCCTGCACGTGAACGAGACTTGGGCGTTGTGGGTGTTGAAGGATCTGTAGATGACAGTGGCGGACTCGTGGGCATGAAATTATGATGACCATGGTGATGATGCATCATTGGCGGTGGAGGACTATCCAAAAACGAGAACCCATGAGTCGAGGCCGGCAGGGACATAGAGAGCAGTGCGGCAGTCTCTGCGAGCGTTACTGCTGTATCCACAGACATACTATTGGCTGCTGCTGCTGCGGCAGCGGCAGCGACTGCAGCTGATCCGGCAGGCGAATCCTGCATCATCTCTGAAAGACTAGCCAATGAAGGGATGGGCGCACTATATGATCCTACAGGCAGTCCCACATGACGTGTTGGCCTCATACTTCCTAAATCACCAGATAGAAATTCACTCGGGAAATGCACAGAATGTTGACGGCGACGTAGTGTCTGTTGATGCTGCTGATGCTGCTGAAAAAGCTGTTGCTTTTGCTGCTCCTGGTGAAGGTTTCGGAGACCAGGTTGTGACTGAGAATGGACGAGCCTATGTGGTCTTTGAGGAGTCATTGGTGGCGTTGTGATTGTGTATCCAGTGGTGTTCAGTGATGGTGATTGGAGTTGATCTTGTTGTTGTTGTTGTTGTTGTTGTTGTTGTTGTTGTTGTTGTTGTTGTTGATATACATGCTGCGCCTGCGTCATCTGAACAGAGAGATCTCCACTGCCAGCTTGAATCTGTCGCTCAAGTCCAAATTGCTCTTGTTGTTGTTGCTGTTGTTGTTGGATCAAGGCTTCGACTGATGGTGTAGGATTTGTGGTAGAGTATTGATCCCAAACGCCCATTCCTCCCTCATCGCTGCCTCCGCCACTAACATCACCTCCCGTAGTCATGAACATGCTGCCATCCCTGGGTGGAATGATGATGTTGCCCGAGAAATATTGATGATGAGGTGGAGTTAATGGCTGCTGATGTGTGAAATAGCTTGGCATGGACGATCCCATACTTGGTGAGAACGCGCCAGAGGGTGTCATTGCAGGGGGTGATGAATAAAGCGGATTTGCTGAAGAGGAGAAGGATGGATAACCAAAGCTAGATGCATTATTGTCTATAGATGAAGGCAAAAGCGTCGAAGAGATTGTAGGAGTTGATGCCAATGTTGTTGTGCCTATTCCTGCTCCCCCTGCCGTTGAGATGTCATATAGACTCTGATTTTGCGAGGCCAACAGAGGTGTCGTCACAAAATCATATTGCTGTGGCTGTTGTGTAAAGGGTGCCTGTGGGAGCTGTGGTGATTGGAGCTGAAGTTGTGCAAAGTACTCTCCAGACTCCATCCCAGCCATGATGCTCTCCATAGCAGTCTCCTCGCGGATCTGCTCAAGGTTTTGCTGCTGACCCATTGGTGAGGATTTTTGGTGTTGATTATTGTATAAAGGTTGTTGTTGTGAAGGTAGGGTTAAAGATGGCTGCATAATCCAAATTCTTTTCTTCCCGTTTACTTCTTTTTCTAGTTATTCCTTTTTTTCTTTTTTCTTTTTTTTTTCTTGTGTGCGTTCGATACTCGATCAGAATGAACGAAAGAGGATCGATCGATTTTCTGTTTTGCAGAGGTGGTATGCACTCGAACTTTTAATCTTTCAGAGATCCCAATGAGAGAAACCACTTGGGATGTCAAGCAGCAGAACAGGAGAATAGGAGGATAAAATCACACTTAAAATTAAACTGGAATTGACTCGAGGTAAGCGGCCGATCGAATGGTGAGACCAAAACTGTTTAGGGAACCGCGTTATTTTTCTCCGCAAAGCCTAAAGTAATGGAGAAATATCAGAGAATCATGGTAGAGATAAAGGCGCAAGAAGAAAAGAAAAAGGAACAAGAACAGGAAAAGATTTGGTTTAATTAGTTTCATGGTAATCATGCTTGTCACCTTCAAAATACAAGAGCTTCATAGGTTCCTGTGTATTCTTAATCTTGGATCCCAAAAACAAGAAAAAAAAAAAAAAAAAAAAGAGTCGGGTGCATATCTGTATGCGTAAATACAAATGAATGTATTTGTATCATTGAAAAAAAAAAAAAAAAAAAAAAAAAAGGACAAGGAGAACAGCAAACAACAATAAACAGTAGGCAAGGATAGGATAGGACAGGAGAGGACAAAAGAGACCCACACGTTTTGTGGACACGTCAAGGAAGAGGACAAAACCACCCATGCATCTGATAAACAAAAGCAACAACCTAATACAACTACTATCCCAAGCGACTGACCATCCTGTACATCTTTTGATTAGCCAAGTAAACAATTCTATGCAGTAGCATCAACATCCATTGCAACGAACCAAAACTCTCTCTCCCTCACTTCAGTTCATCGATCTTGTTAAAAAACAAACAAAGCGGTAATTCGAATGAACGGAGAAAAAATAAAAAAAAAGTGTCACAAACAATAGAGAAAACTGTGTAAGACATGTTATCGAGAACAGGTTAAAAGGTCTGCTGTATGCACCTGCTGTATGCACCTGCTGTATGCACCTGCTGTATGTACGTGCTGTATGCACCTTGAAAGAGATTCAACGGTGCTATTGTAAGATAACAGCCCTGATGTTTTCGCACAAGCGCATGCACACGCATACGCTATTCACATAAAGGAATTTAAGAAGCAATACAATAAATGGAAGGGGAATGAAATCATTTCCTTTCAGAGTAACGATACTTGTCTTTCATCCCCGATATCAGAGCATTACACTGTATCTCGTTCCCGTCCTTCTCCCCTTAACCTCTTTTCTTTTTTCCCTTTCATTTTCACTTTCCTTTTCTCCCTATTTTGTGCATTGAAGATCCGTGGGGAGGTAAAGTTAGAAATCACGAAAAATGGCCCGAGAACAGACAATGTGAGCTGTGTAATGATCAATCATGATCGATGGAATGGCAGACAACGGTCAAGGGAAGTAAAATGAACCCGAAAGGCACTCACTCATATTACATGATGTGTACAAAACATGCACAAATAGGCATTTGTGTGTGTACCCTACCATCCTCACCCAAGAAACATTTTTTTTTTTTTTTTTAGCTCCCTATTACTCCAGCTGGATAACATTGACCATAAATGTTAATAAGAAAACAAAGCACCATGCTTGTACAATCCCATAATCCACATCCTCACTAAATGAATCCTGAGAAGAAAAAAAAAAAAAAAAAAAAAAAACTTCTCTTCTAGGCAAACCTTATAAGCTCGACTCTTTGTGCACTCATAGAAATTAAAAGGCATTCAACTTCCCTATTAGTTCATCTCTGTTCCCATCAAACGTTTGTTCAAGAGAAACGATGTAATTAACACAGTACAGTATGCTCCCAAAACAATTCAGCTTTACAAACAAATGGGGAAACCTTGTTTTCCTGATGAAGATCCATAGCTTTCTACTAGCCCATTTCTTCAAAATCTCCAGAAGGATAAATTATAATGCGAAAAAAGGGGGTTCATTGGTGCTTGCCTGGTGTGAACAACATACGATCAGATGAAATAATAATAAAGAGACACAAGAAGAGATCTATTGCTCTTTCTGTGGAAATAATATAAAGAAAGCTTTTTTATCATCCTGATATCCCTAATATCTGTACTCGATGCTAGCTTCATATAAGCTTCCTTTATAACAAACAATTAAACCATGTCTGCAACCACGATAAAAACATTACATTAGAAAACAAATAAAAAAATAAAAAAATAAAAAAAAAAAAAAAAAAAAAAGTTGGTATGCTTGAAGCAGTAACCCTCGATTACAGCTTCCGAAGAAATTGACTTAATTGTGTTTGTGCGCACGCGTGTGTGTGTATGAATGTTATTTGTGTGTATTGTTTTGTCTTACTGCGATTGCTGATGATAGTCAAACAAAAGTTGGCGGCAAAAAAATAAAATAAATATAACCAATCTCATGACTTTTGACCTTTCTTCTCTCTTTTGAAAGCTAATCAATCTTCTCAACCTCATGACTGTTGTGCTTCGACTATTCACAAAAGAAACCTTTTTATTCATTTTCTTTTTTTTTTTTTTTTTTTTTTTTTTTTGCCCCTTCCTTCTTGATAAAATATGCTTCTGTGATCCGCATTGTTCAAACAGTTAAATCCGTCACCAAGT